TAAATATTTAAATACTATATTTTAAATACTATTAAAATACTAGTACTATAAATATAAATTTAAATCCCTAGGCTACTTTTAATAATTTAAAAGTAAATTAAAGTTTTTATACTACTTTTAGTTATATAAATAGCATAAAGCTACTTTTACTATATTAAATATATTACTTATAAAAAAAAGTAGTGGGAATAAAACACCCGCGGAGACTAAAACCCTAAATAGTATAAAAAATAAGCCTAAAATTTTATAAATAAAAATAAATAGCCTTGTTAATAAAAAGGTAAATCTAGCTATAATTATTCCCTTTTTATTATAAATACCTAAAATTAAACACCCCCGTGCCCTCTAGCATAAAAAAAAGTTTATAACCTATTAAAATATTTTTATATATTAACTTTAATAACTTTATTTTATTTAATTTTATTATAACACCGGACTAAATATTATTATTTATAAAAAGCTTATTTTAATTAATAAAAAAAGCTTTAGTTTTATTAATATATTTTTATATTATTATAATACATGTTATAATTAAAAGTTATAAATACTAAAGTAGATGCTTGTAAGTACCCCAAGCTATTTTTAGTATTATTATAATTTAACTAACCTAGTTAAAATTATATTAAATTAATAAAAATAAAAACACGTGCAAAGTAACTAGCTATTTTTTACCTTAATTTTATTAGTAATTTTCCTTAAGTAAAGCAAAAGCTAGTTAACTATTTTTTTAAAGCCTTTTTTACCCCTATTTTTTTTAAATATAATACTAGTTATAAAATTTTATTAACTATAATAAGTTTTTAAAGTATAGCTAGTTTTTTATTAAATATAAGTTTTTAGCATTGCTGCTGTCCCATCCTATATATAAACTAATTATTATTTAAATATTTATATATATTTAGCCGTGAAGATAAAGCTCTATAATAATTTATATAATATTAATAACTAAACTTTAATAGCTATATAAAAAAAGCTACTAAACTTTTAAAATTACCTAGTAATAAATAAAAAATACGCTAATTTAAATAAAGGTTATTTTAAAAAGCTATTATTTAGTAAACAGCCTAGTAAAAAATAAAAATAAAAAAATATTTTACCCCTAGTAATAAAGTATTTTTTAACTACCTTTTTAAAAAAAATATTAAAATTAATAGCTAAGAAATACTAAAATATATTTTTTATTTTTTTTTTATTATTATAAACTATGCTGCTGCTACTGCTAGTATTTCTTTATATTATAACATGTTTATATAATAATTTTTTTAAGCTTGCTTTAGTTATTAATATTTAATAATATTATATAATATTAGGACAGGATTAGCGTTAGGTTAATAAATAATTATTTATATTATTTTTAAGCTTTAGCTATATACCTATATAAATTAAATGCCTTTAGGCTAAAGGTAAGGTTTGTGTTTATTAATTTTAACCTTTGTAGTATATTTATTTATAATAAAAAGCTAATTTATAATTATAAAATCCTTTAGGTATAATAAATCTAGGGAACTTGTGTTTAGTAATAAAAATTTAATTATTTTAAATTAAAATATTATAGTATTTTTTATTTACCTTTAGTTTTTATAATTTACTTATCTTTTTTTATTTTAATATACCTGCATCTGCCTTTAGCTTTATTTTTTAAAAATAACTATTTATATTTATTAAAATACTCTCCTTTGCAATAATTAATTTTTATTCCTTTAAATAATAGTAACCATGCCTTTATTTTATAATATACTAATATTCTTTTTTAAATAGCCACCTAGTGTTATTAAAAAGACACCACTACTAGTTAAGCTTAAAAAAATATTATTACCTAAACCGCTTAAAGTTAAAAAAACTTTTTTAAGTAAAAAGGTAATACTACCTAGCATTATTTCTACCTAAAGTATAAACTTTTTTATTAACTACTACCTTTTTTTCCTAGTTTAATACTATATTATTTAGTATTACTTTTAAGTTTTTTTTAATTACTACTAACCACAAAGCTACTAGCCCCTTAAATAACCTAGATTTTTTTTTAAATACTAGTAATTAAATTCTTGTAATAAAGTATAATTTTAAAAAATAAAATAATAAGGCTAATATATTTTTTTATATTTATTTAGCTTTATAAAACCTTTTACTTATACTTATTATTAATATTAATATTTTCTCCAGCTAGCCAATCTTAAGAATAATATATTATACTTTTTTAAATAAATTTATTATACTTAATAATCTTATTTAACTTCTAGAAACCATTTATTTTATATATTTTATATTAGTAAGAGTAATAGCTATAAAACGCTTTATATTATTATATATAATTTAATACCTTAACTATTATATATATAATTAAATTATGTATTATTTTAGTTTAACTTATATTAAAAACCTTTATATAAATAAAGGTATATAAAAAATACTTTAAATAATAAACTTTTATAGGTATTATTTAATATTACCCTAAGTATACTAGCACTTTACCTAGTTTATTTATAAACTAAGAGTTATATATAGTAATATATATATATAATTTAAATTATTTTAAAATATATTTTTTTAAAATAATAAAACTTATTCCTATGGGTACTTATACCCGTGGGTTTATTATTACTAGGTAAAACAGGCTAGTAAGTTAAATAATTTTATATATTTAATAATTAATACTATTTGCATGCTTGCAACACCAGGGCGGAAGTAAGATATTTTAAAAATAATAAAAATAATAAGCTAAAAGATAAAAATAACAAGAAAATAGTTAAAACTAAAAAAAGGGTTATAAGTAATAGTGCCTTTGGTTATATAAATAAATATTAGTAACTAAGTTTAACTTTTTTTTATAATAACTTCCGTTATTTTATAAGCATTTTAAGGGTAAATATTATCTTTTTAATTTACAGCTTAATTTCTGTTTTTTTTTTAGTATTTATTAAAACCAATGTTTTTTAGGTTATTTTTTTATATAAAATAAATAGGATGCAGCCGGCAAACCAGTTTTTTAATAATATAAAATAATAAAAAAAATTTATATTTATAAGCTAAATTTATAATTAAAAAAGTATATATTAAAAATCCTATTATATATTTATTATAATTTATTACTACCCTTTTAAAAAGCATATCTAGCTATATATTTATATATTTTTACTAAAAATAAATAAAAAATATAAAAATATAGCTTGCACTTAGCTAATATATTATTAAAAATATAATTTAAAATAAATTTTTAAACTAAAATAATATATAATATATTTTTAATAAATAATTATATTTTGCTAGTATTTTCCTGTGTTAATTATACATATAAATTTTAAAAAATACTATAATATTATAATTACTTATTACATTATTATAATACTATCGCAAATCATGTGGTTATAATAAGACTACGCTAACTCCACCATATTCCCGAACCAGCCAACGGCGGGATGGTACGACATATCCCCCAACAAAGGCATACCACTCCCAGGTACTGAGAATCCCCCTGATCGTGGCGAGCGTAATCTCCACAGGCGGCGCCTTACCCGCCCTCTGAATCCTCTCCTTCGCGATATCCCTCCCCTTCTCACTCAGAAACCAGACGCGCGTATTATACGGCGTATCCGGAAGGATGAAAAACGTCGTAATGCCCACGGGCACCGTTATAAACCCGCAGACAATGTAAAGCCACCTCCAGCCCTCAAGCCCATGCTTACCATTCAAATTCCCATCAGCCGCAGCCAGAAGGTACCCACCAAACAAACTCCCAGCGGCGCCGTCATATGGAACAGCGCAACGCGCTTGGCCAGCTCAGTCTTTGTACAACAACTCCCCGGCAAATGAAGCAAAGACAGGAAGAGCGAACTCTTAGGAAACCCTACCAGAAACCGAAACGCGTAGAGCTCGGCAACGGATTCAGACCGCCTGCGCGAATGGAAATGTCACCCAGCAGATTTCTATTTCGGCGAGCCAGATGCTCGGGCGCACGCGCTGGATGATCAGTGTACTGTGGATCTGCATTGCAGTGTATGCGTTCGTGTATATTGTCCCGGCGTAGGCGTACCCGTTGCCGTGTATTGTGGGCGCCTCTTGCATGCCCCAGACGTATGCGTTTGAGGGGTTTCCTTGGTCGAGGTATTTCATGAAGGGAGCCGATGCAGCAGATGGTGATGATTGAGGTGTCGAGATTCAGGAGAAGGTCCCGTTCTTCGGGGATTATGAGGTGGGCGTCCGTGTCCCAGATGAAGGGGCGGAAGATGCGGCGGGGTGGGGAGGCATCTTGAGTTGGCGATGTTGAGGCGAGGGTGTTTGTTCTGCTCTCGAACTCCTTGAGCTGGGTACTTTGGGGCTGCATAATGTATCTGAATCCTGGATAAGCTGGATGGGGCGTCGCGAGGAGGAGCGTTATATACCTCGGCCTATAAATGTCAACGGTCATTAGGGGTATTCAACTGGGTCTTGGAGAGATAGCTAGATTCTCATCTTTTTACCTCGGGTGAAGAGGGATACCGGACTTTCTTTGCAATATTGAACTTGAGGGACGACCAACTTTAATATCCCCTAATGGATGTATACCTCAACAAGGCAGTTGATTTCCCATCAAGAGACTGCATACTTTCGAACATTGAAAAATATTTCAACTTTTCAATGTTGGAGGCGTACAGGGTTTACATACTCAATCACTCTGCCAGCCAGCCAATGCTGCTCCCAGCAGTGCACCGCTCGAGTATGACCCGCCGTGTAGATCCTGTCGTCAGGATGTCCGGTGGTTTGATAGATTCAGTCCTGCATGCATGGATAAGGCAGGTTAGGGCTCAGGGCTCTCAAAAATCACATGACCTCTATTTTAGGGTTAGCGCGAGCTCTCTTATCTTATCTGTCATCAGAAGTCTCCCTGTGCTAGGCATCCATCCATCCACGCCTCGGCATGAATTCACCTACAATGTCCCGGGAGCCTCAGTACCATATTTCACACTGGCAGCAGTCAAGCGGATATGTTCCCATCGCCGCTTTATACCGGCATTATTGCCATCACAATGGCGCTGCTCATCCCACAAGCCCTCCGCTATCTCAACGTCGCAAACTCACCATCAGCAACGCGAAAAGCCCAAGCACAGGAAGTGGCTAGCTTATTGCTTAATATCTATGAGACTCTGGCCGAAATGCGCTATCTAGATTCTGACTCAATTCAAAGAGGTCCGCACAATATCACCGCCATAGAAACGCTCTACAGCTCCAACAACATCCACCTCGACCCCGCGATCATCTACCTCTACAGCATCCTGCCTTATATCGGCGAGCCATCGGTCGGTGTCACAGACTTCTTCCACGGCGGCACATTCATCGATTTCAGAGACGAAGAGTCCATTGACGAAAACCGGGACCCGTTCTACGCGAGTCCCGAAGGCACCGACTTTTCCGCCGCGAACGGACCATATATGCGTCCGTGGATGACGGCGCTCTCGAGACTCGGAAACCACGGGAGCGTTACTATATATGATGCAAAGGAACACCGGATCTGGATCATTGATCAGGAGGGGTGGGGGACGACGGATCCGTTCTTTGATGGGGAGGAACTGGATCAGGACATTAAGGAAGGCACGAATCGGAATAGCTTTGAGCATCTACCCTCTCGTCCGGCTGGGGATGTTCTCAGAGATATCAACCGGTGGTATCGCGAATTGGTCGAGCTACCCGGTGGCGGGGAATACAGCGGGGGAGCATGGAACGATCCGGAAATCGATCTGAGAGCATTGTACCGGAAGAACGGCTGGCCGGATGCATTCGATGGAGATGCATTTGAAGTCGATAAGGCGCGCGCGGAATTCAGTTTACGGGCTCGGTATGATGCTGAGGAGCCCCGGCGGGCTGTGGAGAGATTCCGAGACTGGCGGGGGCATCTCACGCAAAAGATCGACGAGCAGCGGCAGCTCATTGAGAGTGCAAGATCAATGGATGAAGAGTTGATTGCTAGGTTTGAGAGCTGGTCAGCAGAGCTCGCACTCCAGCGTGTAATTGAGGAAGCTGAGACGGCCGAGGAGGTTTTCGCGCGACGATGTCCGGGAGGCGTATGCTTCAAGGACGAGGAGTTGGTTATCTGGGAAGCTGAACTTCTCCGGCAGGAGGTTAAGTACAAGCGAAGGTCGGTCGGAGATGACAGACAGTCCGCCAAAGAGGTCCGAGAGTCGGACCCCGAGCACACACGAGGCCTGGAGGTTGCGGCCGGTGTCGCGGAGAAGGAGGCAAATGTGTACCAGAAAGCCTATGAGGCGGCGGTTCGTGACGCTGAGCTGTTATGCCCCGGCAAGGCGTTTATCGATGTGAGTGGGAGAGAGTCGCTCGATGAAGTAGACTTGGCTACATCAATTACAAAGCTTCAGGCGAAAATTGAAGCACTGGAGATGGAGGTTGGGCGAGCGAGTGAGTTCGCGAGAAGGGTTCCGGATGAAGCTGACCAGGCAAGGGGCATGGCCGAAGAGCGCATTCGCGACTTTGAAAAGCGCGTCGAGTTTGAAAGAGAGACAGTAACCCGCTTGGAGGGGTGGTTGGCGGAGCGTGGAGATGAACAGTGACCTGCTTCTTCATTACGGTTCTCCTACGGACCTTCGCGACGATGCTTAAGGTACTCATGGCGAGCCTTTACGTCTATTCTTCCATAACCAATGGATAAGTGTATTTATCGAGAACCTACGTTTCTCGTAGGTATGTTTGACTCCCAAAATTCCTCAGGATTATAATGTATATTAAGTTGATTATTTTTCCGCTAAAGAGCTAATGAAATCATGCCAAACAACACAATAACAATAACATCAAAGAATCTCATCTAGATGAACCTAACAGACCTCAGTCTACGCCTGTGGCTCTCACGGGCTCCCCAACACCCTCTCCTCGACTCGTTCCCTAACATCCGCCCCAATCCACTCCCACCGCACCAGAATCTCCAAAAACACACTTATCCACCTCCGCTCCCTCTGGTCAATACTCCGATCAATAGCCTCCAGAATGCGATTCCGCTCCGGCTTGGGCGGCATTTCGCACACAACCTCGAAGTACGGCCATTCCGCAGCCAGCTGGTCGATGTCAGACTTGTGGATGGGCTCTTGCTCCAGTGAGCGGCTGTACCCTGTTGATGAGTGGGAGATGTGGAACGAGGTGTATTTTGGTCGGGACGAGGAGCCGTGAGGTCCCACGAGGATCGTCCATTTGAAGGGAGCGCTGGGGGAGGTGTGTCCTGTTGTTATTATTGTCAGCATTAGGGGGTGTACCTCTGTCTGGGACTGGCTTAGGGCTGGGGATGCTGAGCCGTTGGAGCTTGCGGATGCCATGGCGTTAGCTTCGTGGAGGACACTTCCCTCTGCTCTAGAAATCTGCAGAATGGGTAGCTGTGTAACTATGGCTCCCTTCTGGCCGAGATGGAGGCTTATATAAACGTCCTTTCTTTATGCATTGATCCATCAATGACCTTGCAAGGTATGCCTTTGTGGCTTCCACAGAGCTACAGTTCAATAATCTATATGGCTGGCTGACAAATATCAGATAAAGGAGGCTCATACTCTTTTGTTGTTCGCTTTCACCATGAGCGTGAAAGGCCTTTGTGAATGAACAACAGAGTGAAGTCCGGGTGACTGGGTCTTTGATTCACAGAAACAATGTGTCCAGGACTTCTGAAGATATGGTATTTAATGCCCTCGTATCCTCCAAATATCCAAAGCTCATTCTATTCCTGCCCACTACCAAGGAATCTTACCAAATACCCAGAGAACGTTCGCGCTCTGCCACTGCTACCATCCAGTCTTGAAGGTGTATCGGAGTCTTCTCTACACACAAATCAACCCATCAATCAAGACACCTCCAACTCAATCATCATGAGACGTTTCCTCCTCGGCGGTTCGTGGAACTCCCGCGATCGCTCTCCCTCCCCACCACCCCCACAAACTCCCATCGGCCGGCGCGTCCCAATCCAACTCGCCATCCTGACAGCCCCGAACACAGAAGTCTCCTCAACGGGCGCCTACAAATGGACGCTCCTGATCGGTCCGCACGCCCCGTCAACCGTGCTGGCCCCCTTCTACACAATCACGCACATCTACTCAGCCGCTGCACCGGGAGCAGCCGGCGGAACCGTCTACAGCCGTGTCGACGAAACCGCGAATATTAGCTGGGAAGACTTTGACCGCATGGTGGCTCAGAGTGGCGGGTATGAGGTTGTCTGCGAGCTGCCGCATGGGAAGATGGATGCGCGGCTTTCCGGCTGGATCGACCGGGCGATTGAGGAGGGTCAGATCGAAAAGAGGTGGGTGAGTTACCTGCTGCAGGCTCTTTGGAGACGCGATTGGATTAAACGGAGTGATGTTGGTAGAGTTAAGGAGAAAGTCCCGGTTAGTCCTTGGGAGGTTGGAAGGAAGTAATGTGAGGGATAGCAAGTGAGGTGGATTTGTTGCCCAAGACTTGGACAAACCCTACCCTCCTTCTTTGGACGCGTTCCAAGGTTTCATTTGTCAAGTATGTTATTGTATTGAGGTTGGAATCAATATCATGGTATTATTGAGTTTCCATTTCCTATCCTAATTTAGGTAGAAGACAATGTATGTGCTTACCTGCTGTCATAACCACCATTAATGAACAAAAATATTCATCTAAGTCGTCCAAGCATCGTAATATTGTAAAACAGTACCAGTGGAGTAGGACTAACTGTCCATGTTCTGAATATCTTGCGGCTGTGACCTTATCCTGGAGATATCTACATCGAGCCCAAGTGTCAGGGCTGCATTTGATCATATACTAGCGTTAGAGATGGCGGAACTGCCATTGATATGGTACTACCGCCTCGCCACGCCGAGATCTATAAAATAAATGGATTTCTCGATGATTGGTCCCCATCTCGCGTCATACTTACCGGCTACCCGGCCGTTGGCAGAACCTTGCCAGAGCCGCAACTGAGCTTAAAACAACCTCACTTTCCTTATTTTAGATACGCCACTAAAACCCGCTCATCCAACCAGTCCGCCGCAAGCAGTAAGAATTGTCACCATGCCAATGACCGAAACCCTCCGCGACACCGGCTTCGGCCAGACAATCCGATTCCTCAGCGGAAACCGCCTCCTGCAGTTCCCAGAAGAACAGAACCCCTCGAAATGGAACATCTACGTCAAGAACCCGCAGGTCCTCAAGCGCGAGGAGTCGCTGGCTTCAGACTCGGACGAGGATCTAGGAAGGCACGGGCTATATAGCCTGATGTCGCAGGCGTCTCGGTCTCGGTCGGTGCGCGATCCGTCTCTTATTGCGCGGACGAGGACGGGCGACGGGCCGCTGAGGATCATTACTTGGGCGCCTGATGATAGCGAGGTCTGTCTTTTCTCTGAACGAAGCGCTTGATCTAACCGCCGCAGAACCCGCAGAATTGGAGCGTGGCCAAGAAAATGCTCGTCAGCTCGGAAATCTGGTTACTTACGTTCTCGATCTATATTGGGTCTGCGATCTATACGCCGGGGATTCCGGGTGCAGCAGCCCATTTCGGAATCAGTACGGTAGCTGCGACGCTTGGGCTGACGGTGTTTGTCCTGGGGTATGGCGTAGGTTCGTTTCCTACCCTACCATAGCTTTCCTAGGGCTACCTAGATTGCAATCTACGACCCGACCTGATGATAACCTCCACCAGGCCCCATGATCCTCTCACCCCTCTCTGAGCTCCCAGCCATCGGCCGCAGCCCAACCTACGTCGTGAGCCTGTTCATCTTCGTATTTCTCAACTTCGCCGTCATCTACGCCACCAATCTAGGCATGTTCCTTGCCTTCCGCTTCTTGACGGGCTTCTTTGGCTCGCCTGCTCTTGCAACCGGGGGTGCGTCGATGGGTGATATCTGGAGTCCTCGGATCCGCGACTACATGATCGCCATCTGGGGTGCGTTTGCGATTTCTGCGCCGGTGCTTGGACCGCTGGTAGGAGGGTTCGCAGTTGCTGCTGAAGGGTGGACGTGGACTATTTGGCAGCTGATTTGGATGTCTGGGTTTACGCTGGTCTTGCTGTTCGTCCTTCTGCCGGAGACATATGCACCGACTATCCTTAGCCACCGTGCGCAGCGGATTCGGAAGATCACCGGTGATGCGAATTGCGTTGCTGAAGCGGAGTTGGAGATTCAAAATCTGTCATCGAAGGTAAGCTTCTGCATATTCATTCCCTTCCAAGAACAAGCCATCCAGCGTCGTTAATCAAGGATTCGAAAATCATTGTTGATCACCACCTGGCCAGGACATCCTCTTCGAAGCCCTAATCCGGCCCTTCCAACTCTCCTTCCTGGAGCCGATAATCCTGCTCTTAAACCTCTACATCGCGCTCATATACGGCATCCTCTACATCTGGTTCGAAGCCTTCCCCATAATCTTCGAAGAAAAGCACGGTTTCAATGCCGGACAAACAGGCCTTGCCTTCCTCGGCATCTTCATCGGCAACAATGTCTTTGCAATCCCATGGTATTTCTACTGGAAATACCACTACCAGACCCGAATGTTCGATACCAACGGCAACATCGCACCGGAATGCCAGCTTCCGCCCGCCTGTGTGGGTTGTATATGCCTCCCAATCTCCCTCTTCTGGTTCGGCTGGACGGGGAATTTCGCGAGCGTGCATTGGGTCATCCCTATTATCGCGTCCATGCTCTTCTCCGTCGGCGGGTGTCTAATCTTTAACAGTATTTTCACGTACCAGGCCCACGCATACCCGAAGTACGCGGCGTCCGTATTAGCAGGCAACGACTTCATGCGCTCGTCGTTTGGCGCCGGGTTTCCGCTTTTCGCGACGGCGATGTTCCATAATCTTGGTGTTGGGTGGGCTTGCACGTTGCTGGGGTGTTTAACGGTCTTGTTTGTCCCTTATCCATTTTTGTTGTGGTGGAAGGGGAGGAGGATTCGGATGGCGAGTCGGTATGCGAGGCATGATATCTAGGAGCCGGCATCCCTCCTTCCAGCGCTTTTTATGGCTAAAGGGTCTGTGGGTTTGATGATTTGATCTTTGCGACCGCTGCACGGATCGTCCTAGTCCGGCGTTTGTTTCACCTCACCCAAGAAAGTGCACCGCGAACCCGATATGCTACACAGGTCCCCTCGAGATGTTCCAGTAAAGGACAATTATACGAGAAGGATTGCGGAATGCTACTCGTGGACGGGCTGAGATCGGGCTGAGCACCGTTCCTATTGCATGCCGGCCCTGCACTAAGTTCACTAACAGGCACCGCGCTTGGGGGCTGTACAGACAGCCACTCAGCCGGGGCATAGGCCTTCCCCACAGTTATGTCGGGTGCTGATCTGTCCACTCCCCGGCCACTAAGCTGCGCCTCAGCCGCCGAGAGGGTCCGATCAACACGCTCCGCCAAATGCCATCATGTTGAAGGATTAAATCAAGCCAACAGGACGAGGCTGAAACTGCCCTGCCCCCGCCAATCTCCCCACCGCACGGCCCTGGCATTTCCGAGCGATTTCTGCCTTCACAGATCCTGAATGTTCCAAGGTTGGTTCTGCTTTCCCCCGTTCTCCTCATACATCTCACATCCACCATACAGCGATTCATCCCCAAATCTCCAAATGACATCGACCTCCGCCTACGATCCCCCCGCAGGCTACGGCCTCCGCCGCAACGGCACCTGTCTCGCGACCGAAGAAACCTGCGCCAACCCCTACGACGACTGGCACAACTGCTGTCCCGAGGGGACATACTGCAACGACGACAACACGTGCTGCCCGACGAGCTCGAACTGCGCGGCGTTCATCGAGGCGGACCCGCACTGCGCGAATAACGTTACCTGGGATCTATACGATAGTAACGGCTATTTCTGCTGCCTGAGTAGCTCGTATGGGTTCACGCGGAATGATCTGGTGTACAATGGGACGAGGACGGGGGGAGTCGGGTGTGCGGACGGTTTGCCGGATGGGGAGAGTTTGACGGCGATTCCGCCGGTTGCCAGGGGTGTTGGTATGGACTCTTCTCTTTCATTTCTTCTCTTCTTCTTGTCCGCGATGAATGAGAGGAGCTAATGTCGCGTTTCTGGGTGTAGGGAGCGAGTCCGCTACACCGACGCCGACGCCTTCACCCGCGGACACGGACACCGCTACGACAACGCCGACACCATCGGACGCAGACGCAGACGCAGACGCAGAAACTACATCTTCATCCTCATCAACGAATACGGGCGCAATCGCAGGAGGAGTCGTCGGCGGCGTCGCGGGCCTGGCGGTGATTCTTGCGCTGATATGGTTCATCATGCGACGACGACGACAGCGGATTGCGCAGGGTGCGCTCGTCACGCCCGCGGACTCCGCGAGCACGGCGGCAAAGGAGTACTCGGGTATCCAGCAGGCGGAGCTGGACGACAATACGTATCGGGCAGAGTTGTATGGGAATCATAATGCAATGGCGCATGAGTTACCTGCGAATGGGCGGTGATGGAGGTGTATCAGGATGGTTAAAGAAAGAAAGCGGCGAGAGTTAGAACTCGAGCATGATGCTACATTCAAGGTACAACTAGCTGGTTTGAGGCTGTTTCTACCTTATCACAGGGTCAGTTTTGGGTGCCTGACAATGCCCGCCAAGCCAGCATCTGCGGCCTCTTGAAGCATGTCTTTTTATACCCCAATTGGACTGTTCAATTATACATTGAAGCGTTCCTTCGGAAGAAGCTGGTAGAAATGATGATGAATGGTATTAGTGATAATTGTAGGTTTGTTCAGCTCGCGCCTGGAATGCTCCCGTCTCTCGATGTCGACGCCCATACCTACCATGAAGGCGACTACTCTCGTCTCTTGAAAACCAACTGACATCCATCCTGAAGATAGAGGTTAGAGATTGTCTCTCAGGTAAAGTTACATGTCCTTAGAGAAGGGCGGCTTACCATAGGAAACAACGTCGCAAACACCCGAATCTCCTCCGACAACGGCGTGGCATGATGCTCCCAGTCCAGCTCCAACGCAGCCTTCCCAATCATCCCAGCCATGGATAGCGGCACATACCGCCGAGCAAGACAATCATGGGCGCCGGCGCCAAAGACCAGCCAGTTCTTCGTCTTGCTCTCTGCATCACCCGTGATCCACCGGTCTGGATCGAAGACGTCGGGGTTGGGATATGCCTCAGGATCATGCAGTGCCGGGTAGCAGGATGGTATTACCATGCCCCCTTTGGGAACGGTGTAGTTTGGCGTGATCGGGAAGGCCTTGGTCGCGAGGTACGGCACGAAAATGACAGGTGGTCTGTGGCGGAGGAGTTCCTTGATCACGGCGGTGGTGTAGGGGAGGGCTTCGAGCATTGGCAGATCAAAAGGCTTGTATCTGTCTCCGTCGCGGGCTTTCCGATTCTCCTCGCGGAGTTTATCCAGAACATCGGGCCGCTGTGCAAGGATCTGGAAAAGCCACGTCGTCGCACTGGAACTCGCATCCTGCGACGCGAAGAGGAATGTAAACAGTGTTTCTGAGATCTCGGTGTTCGTGAACTCGCGGATGAGATTCGCTGGCTTTTCGCAACTCTCTTCGCCAGCGGCGACTCTATCACGGTACGCATTGGACTGCATCATATGCAGGACCCAGTGGTCAACTATACAGGTCGGTTCCGCTCCTCGGGCCATATTCTCCTTACAAGTAGCAGCGCACTTGGCGAATTCCGCATGAACCGCATCAGCCGTCCTCTTCCCCTTCCAGACCTTGGTGAAAGGGATGTACATCGAGAGCGGGACATTGACTAGTTCCAGTGCCTCGGTGACAAGGTAGAAATCGTCTGCGATTTTCTTGACTGCGTCTTGCGAGATATACTCGCCGAAGAACGTTCTCAGTGAAAGAGCGCAGTTGATCTCGCGGAAGAGTGTCATGAATGCCATGGGTTTATTGCCATTGCCTTCGGATGCAGTAACAAACTTCTCGAAGTATTCGGCTAGAACTCGCTCTTGGGCGGGGAGGTACGATGCAATGGCCTTGTTCGTGAAAAGCGGTGTCAGGCCGCGCCTGTACTCGGTATGTTCTTTTCCCTGCAGGAAGACCCAGGCCTTGTGGCCGAGGATGTCCTTTGCGATCGGTACGATGCACGGTTCGGCGTAGGTGGGTGATTTGAAGACTTTGTGGGCTAGGTCGCGGTCGGAGACGAGGACAACGAACCTACCGGCGTTAGTGTCCTACAAAGGCCTCAATGGGGCTAGCATACTTGTGAAAGACCGATACGCAGCTCAGGGGCCCGCTTGCCCATTGCTTCAGGTAGGCGTCGAACTTCGGGTGCAGAGCTTGGATGAAGGGGCCCGTAAGGGGGACCTTGAAGCGAGGACCGGCGAGTGTGCCTTTGCGGTGGAGGTAAAGTACTTGGAAGATCAGCTCATGGGTCCCTATGAGTTTGGTAATTCATACCTTGGTCATAGACAACAAGTCCGATGAGAAAAGTGACGATATATTGCCAGGCCGGCCTTCCGGTCAGGAGGTCTTGGAGTACTTCCTGAGCAGACACCCCTCCAATCTGTACTGGGGTCCCAGAAATCTGCAGTGTGCTATTGTCATATTGGTCCATCGTGAAAAGCTGGGAATTCTCGTGGTCGCCAGGCGGGAGGCTTGGAATCCCTATCGTGGGCGGATTGGAGCTTTATACCGACTTGTCTGGTTCACAACACCCCTTTTCATCCTCCAGGGGCAGCCAACCGGGGATCCGTAATGGACCCAGTTGCAACAAGTCCTGATTCTGCCTACTGCGCAGCTTCATGCACCCCGGGTAAAGGTTGGATGATTAGGGCTTAAATCGGACTAGACTCCTAGATTCTGTCTTGGCGGATTCGGAGACTAAGGATTATATTGATAAATTATTTTTATTTTCTTTAATTATTAATTATTTTATTTTATTTAATTATTAATTATTTTATTTTATTATTAATTATTTATCCTCTTTTGATTGAAGCAGATTAACCATCGGTTTGATGTTCGTGCTCGAGGTAACCATCTGACTTCAAGACATTTTCACCCGAGTTTTTCCAAAGAAGACGGAAAGGAAGAGCATCTGCCTGCCTGCAGCGGCAATTTGAGTACACGAGGCTGGCGGCTATTCCCTTGATCAATGCCCACCTGGCGGGTCGCTCTCCCCTGACGAAAATATATATATTCTGCGCTTCCTGCGGTGTCGGTTTTGGACATCAGGGCGGCCTGTGGTAACGTCAATATCCGTGAGTCTGGAGGGTATCGAGGAGGGAGGGTACATAGATGTTTTGACCTCGCTGATAAAGGATCCAAGAAACTGGAAACGGCCTGCCCCCAGCAAACCAGTATCTTGCGTTTCCAAGCGACAAGAACGTCATTGGCCAGCGGTGCATTGCTAGCGCGTCTCAAGTCAGCTAGGACAGCGTGGGCTGATTCCGAGGCTTCTCCACAACACCATCACTCTATCTCAACATCTCCTCTCTGAACATGCGCCCATCACTCCGTCGGGCGTGCGCCGCTTGCGCCAAGTACAAGGCGAGCTGCGACCTTGGCACACCGCGTTGTTCCCGATGCATTAAACGGAGGGTTGAGTGCGTATACGCGAACCAGCCGCTCCCGTCAACACAAGCACCAAGCAGGGCCCCAGCCGGTCAGAGCCAGTGTCGACCATTATCCATACCGCCGTTTGAACAAGTCGCGAAAATAAACGACCGGTTCGGCTCCGTCGATCCGTTCGAGTCATATCCGCCGACTAGGCTCCCTAGGACCCATGTCCAGCGTCTCATCCACAGCTGTCTGTCCTCTTCCTCACCAAATACCTTGGCTCGAGCCAATCAACTAACGACCGAATAGTCCTCCACAAAATCGCGTTTGAATACTACCCGCTCGACCTGAGCGCAACCTCAAATCCATTTCTCGTGTCATGGTGGCCCCTTGCACTGGGCGATCCGGCGCTCTTTCACGTCTCGCTGCAGACAGCATGTCTTGACGAAGAGCTCCTCGCCCAGAAGGGCTTCCATGCGTCGGAGATCTTGATGGCTGATTCGGTCGCGCTGCTGAGACGGAAGGTTCTTTACCCGTCTCTTGCCGTGCAGGACGGGACCATGAACTCAGTGATCACGTTGGCTGCTATTGAGGTAGTTGGCCCTGCGTTGCGGATTTCGAGATTGATGGATGAATAGTAGCTGACATTGTTGGCATAGTTTGGCAAGGGCAATATCCTGACGAGCCAGATGCACGTTGACGGAGTGAAGAGGCTTGTTGGTATGAGAGGTGGGATCAATGCAGTGCGGCAGACGAGTCCGTTGACGGCGAGGATGATCAGCTGGTACATTTCTTCTCGAGGCTTAGGCTTAGGCGCCCCTGACGCTGACGCTGGCTAGGGTATCAATGCTGGTTATGGGCCACCCACAATTTCCCACGCAGGACGACCAGGGCATTGGGGACGGCATACCCCTAGTGCCGGAATGGCAGGTTGATTTGATGTCAAGCTCTCACCCCATCAACAATCCAGACCTTCTTGGAGTTCTAGATCTCACAACTGACCCCCAAGTTCGTGGCGTTTTGATCCGTCTCCGCGCGGCATTTGACAGAGCTCAGCAGGCACCCTTGTCAAGTACGAGACTTCATGACCTGACCTGCTTCGTGATTCATCGATTACTCCTGTCCGCTCCGGACGCCACCGGGTTGGCAGTTCCAGAATCGCCCATTACAGAAAGCATTCGCTATGCAGTCATTCTGTATATGTTCATTATCCACGGGCCAACGTACTACTCGCACGCTGTGATCATGGGCAGCGTTGTCGCTCGACTGGTCAATGCCCTTGCGCATCTCGATGATTCTCCTCGAGCTCAGGAGTATGTACTGCTTGATGTCTGGATTACCGCAATCGGTCTCGTGGCTTCAGCGAATACGCCGCATACTCTCTGGTTCGCGAAGAAAGCACAAAGCTTAGTCGAATCCCTGCAGCTGCAGAGCTGGGATGATGTCCTTCTGCATCTGAGGGGTGTTCTGTGGTTGGAGACGGGGCATTGTGAACAGATCTTTCGACTGTATTGGGATCCTGTCCTTGCCGCAATACCTGCATACCAAGGCCCGGAGGCTAATTTAGTTGATATGAGTATCCCACTTACCTGGGCTCCGTTGGGAAGACTCAGAGTTGAGAGTTAGTTCAGCGAGGTATGAGGATGGGAAACGAAAATGAACTCGTAAATGAGATATCGCTTTTGCTGAGTACAGGCGTAGAATATAGAAATACTCGCCCCTTGTAAAAAGAAATGATTTTGTCACGGACGTTTGACATGGAACATCGTTTACCTCGTAACCTCCTATCTTCGCAAGCTCGGCATCGAACAGACAGACTCACGTAAACAGAAATAAACATTAGCGCTGGCGGAACACCTTCCTATCGGTGTCCTGACTTTTCGGCGAGGAACAAAAAAAGCGGGCGAATATGGGGACACAGATTGATTGTTACAGGTGGACTGAGAACGAAAAACGCACAAGTGTAAATCCCACATAGCGCAAAGAACAAACATGCGCTTCGCTGAGGAAGCGGCATTAGGAGCTCCACGGTTGTGGGTTAGCCTTCACCCTACTTCCCCGCCAACACGAACGTCTCCCCAACCCACCCGTAAGCACGGTATAGTCTCCGGCCATACCTGCGAGCCACATAGAACGCAAGCTTGCCGGTCGGGTGCGGTTCATGAAACTGGATACTCCTCTCGACGTCCAGTAGGGTCGGCCGGAACTGCCAGACAGAGCCATATAGCTTGATTGCCTTGAACCCCACCGAAACCATGGCGTGCAAGAAATCGCTCCAGGGAACTTCTCCCGGGGTGGAGCTAATGGCGGGATTGAAGAAGATTGCACGGAATACTTTGAGTGCCCGCGAGTCGACCGCGAATGTGGGGTTCGAGTCAGAAAGGTCCAGTTGTAGCATTGCGCCGGTTGGTGCGGCAGGGTCCTGAGGTTGCTGAGCACCGCGGGTTTTGACTTTTGCCTTGCTGTGAGGGACGTCAAGTTCCTTAGCGGAGAGACCACGGTAGACCATTGATATTGCCTGATACGACGCGTAAATGTCACGTTCCGATGTGGTAGCTTGAGATCGCTCGGCAGGTGCAGGCAGTCGATTTTCCGGCTCCGTCCATTCCAGTGTTCGCCGCAGTATGCGCGACTGGTACAAGAGATGACCAACAGCCGTATCCCGTAGATCTCCGACTTTGGCGAGCAGAACTTTGTCCACGGCCTGCCAGAAATCGTCCAGATGACGCTCGGCCTTTCGAAGTGTGTTGACATTTTCTTTTGTGCGGCGCTTTTCGAAAGGATAATGGAACCTTCCACCAGATGGATCACAGAGGCTGGCCGCTTCCTTCAGGTTATCTTCATTTAGGGCAGCTAATATCTCAGTCGAAGGCTTTGTTCGTGCGTTAAATTCAGCTTTCATGCTATCTCGGGGAAGGAGCACTTCCGACTCCCAGGTCCGGGCCCATGGCTGGTATAGATGAAGCTGGTGTAGGCATTGGGACAGAATCGATACTGTACCCAAAACACGGGTGACGTAGGGAGACAACAGATCCTTGACCCCGGGCGCGGATTGGACTATCCGCTCAAGCTCATCCACAAGGATTGGAAGCGGAACGATCGTCGATATCCAGCGCTCTTCCGACAAATTGTTCAGTTGGGCAACTAATCTTCCTTCAGCTCTATTCCATCTTTCATCGCCTGTATAGTCGAAACTTGGGCCGTTAAGCGCGCCGCCTTGCTTTGGTAGATCGGATGGTGATAGTCTCCGAAAGCTATTGCGCAGAGGCCTTGAAAGTGGTGCTGCATGAACGAGCTTGTGGATTTGTTTCTTGAGAGCGTCTGTAATGAAGTAACGGAAGGTGAGCAGCGCCTCTAAATACTCGTCGGGTAGTGGCTGCGATGGCAATATAACGGCACTGTGCTTTACTTGCAGCAGTGCCACTTGTTTGGCCTGCCGACTGAGCTCGGAAAATGTCTCCAGCTCCACATGCGCCTCCACGAGCATGCTCTCAAGGCTACGGGCCCATATTATATGATTCCGACTGTCCAATAATAATGGGTGTCTGTTCCCTTTCGGGTCCTTCAGCATTTCACGTCGATGATCTTTTGCTTCAAGGAGACGTTTGGCGAAGTAATCTGGGTCTTCCCGGAGCGCCCACAGATGATCCTCGGCCGCCGAGCTTCTTGCAGTCAGTAATGACTCGACGAGTGAGAGATCGAGCTTTGCCGGGACACGAAAGGGGGCTTCGGCGGTCAGTACAACGAGAGATTCAAAGCCGACTGTTTTGTTGTTTTGGCCTAGCAGCGGTTCTGGAAGGACTGGAAACAAATCGGTCACCATTGTAGATTCTGGGATGTCATGGAGAATTTGTTGACAGCAGTGAACAAGGAAAGATAAGAGTCGGTCCTGGGCCTCCAGAACCAGGAGGCCGTCGCCTGGCTCAAACTGATACTCCGTAATCCACCATTCATACGCTTCTGGTTCATCGCACATTTCCAGGAGCTTGCCATACTCGCCCGTATTTTCCACGAAGCCGTTCAATAGAATGASGTAACCCTCCACTTTCGCAACGTCAATCATTCGAAACCTAAGAGCCAGACTCATAGCTTCCAAATCCGCACCGGCAAAATATGAAGGAGCGTGGCGTCCCCGGGAGTTAATCAGCAGCAGGAGTGCCTTCGGAACGAGCAAGTCTTCCTGATTGATATACGGCGACATTAATGCCTCTCGATGGCGTTGCTCTCTCTCAGAGCCCGCTTTCTTGCTACCTGCGCATTGGCGCGCAACCTCAATGTCAGGACGGTGCTGTGCCGGCATGTTGGGCCAACCCTCGAGCAGGATTGCTAGCTTCTGGCGGCGGTTCTTTTTTAGCCAGCGATTGTGTATGGTAGGCTCATGACGCTGTAGGATTGCATTCAAAGTCTCGTAGTTTTGAAATATTCTCTTAGCCATCGAATCAGATTCCTTCCGAACTTGATCTGGACTTCTGATGGGAAAAGCGTGAGCTGTAGCGGTCTCGCCAGGGATGTCCCAGCGCAGCATTTTGTTCATTATATGGGACATGAGGGACCACGTCATCTTCATCATCTCTGGATCCTTCTCGAAATCCGAAATCTCCGGGTCGGAGCTTTCCTTAGGTGCCATGGCTTTCCTTTTCCTGGGCGGAGTCTCGCCTGTGTTGTGGTCTAGATGTTGTTCAGTCACGTAAGCAAGAGAAGATCTCCATCTTCAGAATCCTACTTTGACAGACTAAATATTCCAAGGTATCCACCTCAGTTTGGGCTCCGAGCAGATGAGCCGAAGGCGCTGTTGATGGCAATGGCGATGAGAAGTGGGCAGAGTCTCGCCTGTGTTATGATCTGGGTGTTGTTCACAGCCACGTCAGCAAGAGAGCCTTGATCTCCATCTTCAGAATCTTACTTGAACAGACTTGAAATACCCTCGTTCCCACCGCAATCTGAACTGCTCGGTGATGGCTCGAAGGCGCTATCGATGGCAATGGCGATGAGAAGTGGACAAGACAAACGTCCATGGGCAGCTGGAGGCATTCCTGTCAAGTTGGCGCTATACCCTTCCCGGCTTAGCGGCGTTGTACTCTCGCTTGCATTAGCAGCACTTGGAATCAACACCATCGCTACGGCCTGGGTAACCGCAGAAAGATAATTCAAAAACCGAAGCATATAAAGGTAGCCGAATTGGACTTAGTTGGATGTTTATGGTGAGATTATGCTTAGTGTTCTCATAGTAACAATGGGATGAGTTCCGCGACGCCTTCGCTTATCGTACAGGTCACGTGCTTGTCGCCTGGCTCACCTATGGCGGCCTTCGTGTTGTTTTTACTGCCGTTTGCTTCTCGAAACTCTTCAAGCAGATTCCCTCTGGTCTCTAATTTTGCCTTTTGAAGGGCTTCCAAGGGGAGTGGTTTGGACTTCCGTATCGTCAAAGCTTAAGGGCCCATCCACATGACAAGCCTAACATTCTTCTTTTATGATAGGCTGAAAGGTGTAGGAACACTACGACAAGGCTATCAGCAATTTTCCCGGCTCAAGAGACAGGTTGGCACCAATAAGACGATGATTGAACGAGCTACTCTCCAGTGCCGGGCTGACTTCATGAGCGCCGTGCACTGACACAATTGATTGTTAGTCTCAAACAACTACTTCGCCCGAACAGAGACACCGACGGCGAAAGGTCTCAAGCCCGCGCTGCTCATCCCACTGATGGCCACCTCAACTCTTACTGTATCTACGCACAGCCACTAACAGCCCGTCCGAGCCGTCCGGTTCCCGATACAGACCAGGTCCCGTGGCCCTCTCTCGCAATCACGCGGCTGGAGCAGCAATGGGCAGTCCAAAATAGAACAGTTGATAAGGAGACACTGGTGGCGGATGGTATCCAGGAGAGATTATTGAGACAGGAACCGGAAGGAGTAGTGAGGACGGGCAATGCGGCTGACAGCCTCTTTGCTAGAGTGGCAGGGATAGGACTCCGAAATAAAGGGATTTGGTGAAAACGTGGAAGATTCCTTGTGCGGTTAAGCATCCATGGCATGTTATTGAGCTTGAAATATTCATGTCATATTTCTTAAATATTATGATTTCGCAGTACCTAGCTCTCTTTTCGCCCGCGAAGTCGAATCCCAGCGCTCGAACGCGTTGTCCATTCGGCAAGGACCTAATCACAACGAGTACGAGTTCAGGCGCAACATAGAACCTTCTAATGTCACAGTAATCCCTGTGACAACTTTGCGATGATGAGCTAAACTGGATGTATTCGTTCATAACTAGACTCTGTGTCCATGGTCGGGGACAAAATATCCAGACATACCTCACAAAAGAACAAGCCAAACATTGTACTGGGGTAAAGGGTAAAGTGGAACGTAACGCAGACTGTAGATTGAAGGAAAAGAAAATAAAGAAAAAGAAAAGAAGAGAAAAAAATGGAAAATTGCAGACACAAAACGAAATACGAAGAAACACGAAAAGATTTCATAAACCAACGCCAATATCCCGAACAGACGCGAGAATAGCAAGCTTCTAGGTAACCGTCTACCAGAACTCGCGCTCTGCGCGTTCGCGGGGCGACAGGGGTTCGCGAGGCGACAAGGGCGGATCCACGATGGTGAAGTCATCATCGTCATTGCCATCCTCATCCATGGGCTCAGCACCTGCATCCTCGGTATGACTAGCCGCACGTTCCTCCTCAAGAACATGCTGGATGTAAGCATCAGTAAACGCCTCTTCACCAGCGCGAGTCCAAGCACGGGTCCAAGCACGGGTCCAAGCTTCACGATGTGCCTCGGTATCGGAGACGCTGGAGGCCGTCACGCGATTCCTATTCCGACGCAGGGGACGAGCAGGGGGGCGGGGATAGCGCAGATTCAGACGGTCGAGGAAGCCGCGACGAGCGGAGGGTCTAGCGGTAGCTGTGTGCTGTGGCATGGTCGGAGGCTCGGTTTCGAGCTCGGCACGGACTGTCTCGAGACGTGCGACACGTGCGAGAAGTTCAAGGCGTTCCGAATCATTTTCCGGGTCGCGGACGTTCAGTTGCTCCGCGACGTGCTGGGATACTAGGGGGAGGATACGACGAGCGGGGGAGGGTATATGAGGCGCAGCGAGTGGGGTAGTGGACTCCCTAGGTACAGGCGGAGCCGTAGTCGGGCGGGGTGGGACGAGGTTATTATCTTGTAACCAGCGGTTGTATTGTGCGTTTCGGGTGACTGGATCACTAGCAAGGGACATGCGCTCTCGTGGAGAAGGACGGCGCTCGGAAGGTGCAGGGACTGCGATATTAGTGCGTGCGGGGGCTGTCCCAGTGGTGTGTGTGTCTGCATTCCCGCGAGGAGGTATGTAAGTATCACCGCGTCTAAGTGCATGCCGGCGTTGTTGGACTAGCGAGGTTGTAGGCTCAGGTGTTGCCAGTCCCCCAAACGTCTGGTAGGCGTAACGCCAAGCATGGACAAATGGGTCGTTTTCATCAAAGGGAGCTCGGCCACGGGTGGCTTCGCTGTAAGTCATGGGCTCCTGCTCTCTAGCCGCGGGATTGCCTGGAGCATTGCGTCGGGGTGCTGCGGGTAGGTCGTCCTCTGGAAAGGCACCGGGAGGACGAGGCACTACCTGAGGGCGATGGTTCGGGACCTCGAAGACGTCTGCTAGGTGGCCCAGTGGAAACTCATCTGCGGCTGGAGGCAAGCGAGGGAGCTCGTTGGCGACAGCGGGTACTGGATTGCCCATCGGGGCGCCAGCCGGAGGAGCGGCACGAGCCCGTCGCGGTGGTCTGAGAAACGCGCGTTCCTGCATGGCGTAATGCGGGGGTAGAGGTGGAAAACCCGCATCGCGAGAACAAGCACAGAAGCGATAGTGGCCTCCACATTGGTAACAAAAGTTAGTCCCGCAGACGCATCTAAATCGGAGTGGTTAGTAAATGTTTCTTGCCATGGCCGTGGACAACGGGGTACCTACAACATATGAGCACAACCGTCGACTCGTTCGACCATGCGTTTGCAGTTAGGACAGCGCCGCCAGCCTTTGCGAGCTGCAGTGGCCTCCAACTCAGTTTCTCCTGCATTGGCGACGCACCTGTCGAGAGGGTCATGAGCTTTCTTTTTGCATTGAGTGCAGGTTGCGGCTCCGCAATTTGCGCATATCGCAACGTCGTTCTCGATGGAAGACGGGTGGATGAAAGCGCCACAATTGGTGTCATAACAGTAGAGCCGATCGGTTGCGGTATATTCAGCCTTTGCTTTCATGTAGCGCTTCAGCAGCTCCGGGTCCAGGAAATAGTGGACATTGTTGAGGCTGAACGGGCGTGACCTGCAGCAGCTGGGAGGAAACGACGCTTCATTCGAGATTGCGACCTCAAACATACGCGCAAGGCAATTGCGGCAGTAGTGGTGGTCACAAGGCAAAAGCGCAAGCTTGCCCACAGTGTCAGGAGACAATGTGCAGACGAGGCAGGTTGGCGGCGGGATGTAAAGGCGGTTCTGGCGAATGACTCGATCTTGGAGATCCAGCATCTGGCTGAGATCGGGCTCGTGGACCCGAAGGTCGATGGGACCCGAGCTGGCCATGGTCGGAGGAGTGAAGCTGGAGTGGGGAAGTGTCTGTGTTACACTGGGAAGGGAAGGGTTGATGCGTAGGGGAAGTTCGAGATGAAGGAGAGGACTGGGAGGAAGCTGCGGAAAGAATGGCGAGGCCGCGGGGTCGGCCATGCTTAAATAGCTGAGCTGGTGGCAAAATGGATGGAAGTGAAGATGGTGAAGATGAGGCTGAGTGAATGGGGAGGTGGAGGAGTGAAGAACTGAAAGGTTCTGGGGTGGTCCGGACCCTTGTCCCGCTTGGCGCAGCTCCCTCCAGCCTTGTCCGCTGCCAAACCACTCAAACACCACGCTTCCAACTTTATCTCATTTCATAACTTATGGCTTCATTTCTGAGTCACAGAAGGATAACTGGCATTGGCACTGTTCCCCTTGTTTTCGCGCAGCTAGACGTGACACTTGGGAGCCAACCGGCCTAGAAACGCTCTGAGCCGGGAACCCCTTGTTGGAAGGCACATAGCATAAGAGCCTACTCGAGTTTCATGGTAGTTGAATTCAGAAATAGTGACTCACCGCTAAAACCTTCTGGGGAGGTCCTTTGGTTTGTTTGGCAGGCACGCCATCAGCGGGTGTAACCAATGCCGCTTCCGAGATGCATACGCGTCTACAGTGCTAATTCTAAGGTACGCATGAAACCTTGGGAAGCATACTCTTCTACCTCAACACAGCTGCCGCTCCATCAGGATCAGTAGAAAACAATTGTCCTTGGCCTTCGCTTTCGCGTCGTTACGAGGTTCCGTTGTAGACCAACCCGCTGCCAAGACCATCCCTCTCACAACTATATTTGCCCACAAAACACTAAGCACACCTCGTCTTTCCGCCGTGGATATGTATTGAACACTATGCGTTTTGAAAGGTATCATTTAACCCACCGGAAGTATTCACCTCACAAAGTTCCAACCATCTTTGAGGCTCTCAAATAGTAAATACTACCATGGGCTGAACGATTCGGCGCAGCCTGTAATACAGGCACTCCGAGTGAGCCTCCCGAGGTCGACATGAGGTGGCCTGGAGCTCAATCTTCAACGTACAAATTGAGATCCAAACCTGGATTTTCTAGCAACTGGGGATAGCGGATGCAACAAGCAGACCTCGAGGTTCGAACAGTCGGCTCAGTGAGGATGCGATCTCCGGCGGAAACTTGGAATTTCAGCTCTGGCTTGTGTTCGACCTGTCTATCAACCGGATTTGATGGACAGTCAAAAAAGAATGCTCTCATCATCTCCGTCCTGGAAAATCGACATGCCATGAATAAACTGACGTACACTCGGCAAATTATCGCCCCTAGGTTGAAGACTCCCACTAAGACAGACACGGCGATCTCCCCCTGCAGCACTCAGCCCTGTTATACCCAAACACGACAAGCCCGCCCTCCTCCACCGCTCCATGGCTCGAGATCCACCTCGTCACGCACGCCAGCGGAAGGCACATCTATCTCGCCGACGGGCGCAATATCCTCGACACATGCACGGCGCAGCAGCAGCCATAATCGGGCAGAATTATCCCTCTGTCGTAGCGGATACAACCGCGCAGATAAAGCAAGTCACCCACGTACATACTGGCTCCTACACCACTTCCTCAGCCAAAGAGATCGCTCGGTTCATTGCGCGGCGTGGGGGATACCATAGGAAAACAATTGGGGCGATGTCAATGCCTGGCAATTTCACACGAAACAAGCAGTATCTTGGTCTTGCGATGGAAATGGGAGCTTTTGGAGTCCGGCATTTGCGCATAGGCTTCAGGACGGGGAAGGGGTGAGCAGGAAGAGATGTATGCCCAGGGGTTCGTCTACGAGTCTGAGGAGGTTCTACGACCGGGTCTGGAGAACGTCGTCATCTTTAGAGGGGAGACGGTCGTCGGGCCGGCGATTGGGTGTCACCGTGCGGTGCTCCTGCGCAAGGCGTTTGCAGGGGGCAAGTAGGTGGGCGATATCAGAGGTTTGGGCCTTTTCTGGGCTTTGGAGTCGGTGGAGAACTAGGGAAGCAAGCGAGCTTTTGACTCAAACACTGGTTTTGCGGCTGCTGTGTACCAGGCGGCCTTTGAGATGGTATTGGCCGTGCAGCAGGGGACAGGCGCGGTGGATAGCGAGAAAAACAACCATGTTCCTCCTGCACAACATGCAATGTGAGAGTAGAAGAGCCGGAGGTAATCCTGGATACACTGCATAGAGCCTATAGAATTGTGGAGGAGATGCATTCGGGTTTGGATAACCAGAGCAGTCTTGAGAAGCCATAATGCATGCCATGAAGCTCCCACCATGGCGGCCACTTGATGCCCCAGTCAAGCTGCTCAAATTCTCCTGGCGGCATTTCAAGCGGCTCCGACTGCCCGGTCGAATACTCGCGATTGCCAGGATCGGTGGCACCGTGGATGGAGGCCCCCAACCCAAAAATCATCGCGGGTCTTTCCTTGGTATTCCTCCGGGTTCCAAATGTGTAGCTCGTAAAGATCCTTCGTCCGTTGTACAGTTGTCCACCAGCCCCGTCCATCAAGCGGCTCGGTAAGAGAGAGGAGAAGAGAATCATCTCGGTGATAGCCAGGAGAAACATCGAAAGACAAGAGGCAGATTAATGCAGAACCCAGGAGACTTGTCTTCCTCTCACCTCTTTTAGGTCGCTGGAAAGTCTGGCTTGTGGAGGAAGCCGAGCTCTGGGAGTTTCGACAAAGACCCTTGCTGTTTGCATCAGATCGGGTAACAACGGGTCACTAGGCTGGATGGCGAAAGCTCCCGTGGGAGCAACGGGCTACAGGCTGCGGGTCCAATCAAGCTCGCTCTCCAAGGACTGTCGCAAAAGTCTAATCTTTTCTTCCGCATGGGTGTGGTGAACTGCATCGCGGCAATTCCGTCTTTTCGGTTCCGGTCGTGTTAGTACGCACTGCCCAGGAGCGATTCTGCCAGCTTTGATGCAGCCTCAGCACGGTGAACTGCCATTGTAAAGACATCCGACCTTGAGGAATCTGTATCTGGCACAGGCAGTGGTAGTTCGGACCACTCTGGGGGCTTGTTTGTGTTTTGTGAAATGCTAGACGCGAGACGCGAGCGAGACACCTGGATAGACGCTAGTCCATTTCAAGAAAGAATGTGCTTATGTAATCTCCTGGGCTTGGCTCTTTTCCCGACAATCTCCCGGAGTTAATCCAGCCACCTGCAACCTCCCAGCGCGGGGTCATGGGCTTGTTGAATTGCTGAGTTATGTCCTTCAATGCGCCTGAATAGCAGCTCTTGACATACTTTCATCTTTCTACACGTGGCTTTGCTACTTCGCAGCTGCACCGGAAAGGCTGTTCTCATTCTCATTGCGCAATCTAGCCTCCTCCCAGGTTCTTTCCAGTTATCCATGTCATTCGTGATCCGGCAGTGGGATGCCTCTCTCTTCATCAACATTAACTACCCAATCATTCCTGAACAAATCCATCACGAAGTGCCCAACGAATTTGGCAGAGTAGAGAGACAGAAAAGCGGCGTTGCCAATTTTGCAGTTGAGGTATTCAAACAGCAAGGATCGCACAATCTTCAAGGCCACACTCCGCTTGAATAATTAGCTGTACCCATTTGTCACGAACTGGACAACATGGAGCATCTTGCGTGATGTAGCACGCCAAGCTAAACAAGGAGGTAGGCGATCTGGTCATTGCGCATCACAGATCTGGAAGACTAGTTCGCTTTGCAGAAAGACCTTTTCCGCGTTGATGAAGGGCTGCCCTCCATGTCCTGACCTCTGGTCAAAGATGACGCAGGTCATTCCCTTCACGTCGTAAAACAAGACGTCGTTGATACGCAGGGCAGGGTGGCTCTTCCGGAAGCGAGGTATATGAGGGTTGTATACTTGGGTACGTGATAAGCGAGAAATTTGTCACTAATCTTCCATGGTTTGGTAGATCTCGGTGCCTGGGTGCTGTTTCTTGTTCTGGTGCCGCCGTGGGCCGGCGAACCTGACGATCGCTGGGAACGGCCCACTCGTTCGGTCTATCGCAATTGCATCTCAACACAAATTCAGGATCTTGATTCCATAAGCTGAGAAGCTCACTCCCGTGATTCCGGATGGAGGTCACTCGATCAAGAAAGAGGTAATCGAAATCCGTGATATGAGTGAGGGAGGAGTACAAATTGTAAGTTGTTGTTTTCGCGTCTGCTCTCAACACCAAGCTTGCGGGCAATCGATAAATCTTGCGATTCACTTCCACAAGACTGGTGGAATCAATCGTATATTGTCTATCACGATGGGTCCCTGAAGATCGGATCCAGCCTGACTTCCCAACAAACCAGGGCATTGTGTCATGGCGAGGGCCGCGCCATCCGACGAACAAAATACAAATCATGCCTCGCCTCTATAAAAGGGTCCCCTAGGTAATTTTCCCGCCTCGATAATTCCATCCAGAACGATTCCTCCATCAATCTGCGCCTTCGATCGTCCTACTCTATCCCTTCATCATGCAGCTCAAGAACGTCCTCCTGACTGCCACCCTGGCCCTCTCCGCCTCCGCAGCTGGCAACAATACCACGGACATCGCCCCCGTCATCCAGAACCGCCTTGCTGCGCTGGAGCTCGGCTACCTGCACACCAACATCCAGCTCGAGCAGCTGCGCGATGGTGCCGAGGGCGTTGACGCAGATGTACGCTCACTTCCTGCCCTCCCCCTCTCACAAGCAAACTAATGCAATATGCCAGGACGTGATCGCCACCTACCTCAACACCGTGAAGAACGAGGACTCCGCCCTCGACAAGCCCCAGCCCTCCAAGGCGCTGCAGGAGAGCACTCAGTTGACGCTGTGCCAGGCGTTCCACTCGGTACCATTTCCGCTCTTATTTTTTCCCCTTATTGCGTGCCCAATACTAACGGTGCGGTTAGCTCACCGTCACCGGCCTCACCCTCGACAACGCCCTCTACAACAACGTCAACCAGTTCAACAGCACGCAGCGCGGCCAGATCCTCCGCGGATTGGGCAAGGTGTCTGACGAGACCTCGCGCTTCTACAGCAACGTTGCCAGTAAGGCTCTGCCTTACTGCGTTAAGACAGTTCAAACCGACGACATGGCTCTTACTGAGTCGTTCAAGATGGTTAAGGGGGCTTATGCGTCTAACTAAGCTTTCCATCTTAAATGCTACGACAGGCTTTTAGGCCGCGCGGCGTATGGTAAAGGGCTCCACCGATTTGGGGAGCAGGGTATATAACATGATTAATATGTAATGCTAATAGAGATATATAAATCCTATCCGGCGACGAGAATCTCTCAACCTCTGAGTTCATCACGGCGTCACAAATTCCCTGATCTGTCAACAAAGCTGAGAGTATGCATATCGAAAATGTTGGGACCGGGGCCTCGTCATCTCGGCTCCTCTCGGATCGATCGGCGATGAGGCTATCCCGATGAATGCAAGATCCGCGCACCCCTGAGCAAGTGGATACCGCAGAATTGGGAAAGGTCATGCCGATCGTGTGGTGGCTCGATGAGGCAACAGGATGGGCATTCATTTCCAAGATATTACCGCGCTTCTTTGTTGTCTAGCCTATCTGCCCGGCCGTGGTCATGGATTTCCAAATGACGTCTCGTATGCTGGATATCCGGAAGCAAACACAGCAGCTCTGCGACTTGTTCTTGCACGAGAAATCTCTGGGTAACTACGCTTGATAATACTGACTTTTTCTCAGTACCTCACCCTTCGCCGGAAAAGGTCTTCTCTAATAAGGTATCCATAAATACCAGCCGGCTTCTCTTGGAAGACACGTCACCGCATGATTTGTGAATCAAGACATTGACATGTTATTCGACATGTATCTCACTCTGCGTTATCCACAGCTCCTCCAACGCATCCCCATTTCTCCTAACTACACATACTTTTTCTCAACTTCAATTAATAACATACCCCCCATCAACAACCATCGCATGCCCCTGCACAAAGCTCGCCTTGTTCGAGGCTAGAAAAAGCACCGCATCCGCAACCTCCCTGGGATCCCCCATCCTCCCCATCGGGGCAATCTGCACCGCCGGCTCCAAAGCCCTCCTCGTCTCCTCATCCTTAGTCGTCATATTCGTATCAATCACGCCAGGACACACACAATTAACCCGGATCAGATCCTTACTAAAATCAATCGCGTCGGCGCGGGTCAGTCCGATAATCGCCGCCTTCGACGCACAGTACGCCGCTGCACCGGCGCGCGAGACAACGCCCAGCTGGCTGGCGATGTTGACGATTGCCCCGCGCGTCTGCGGTCTCCAGGTCTCCGCGCCATCGGAGACAGGCGTCTGGGATACCATTTTGCGCAACGCCGCGCGCGAAACGAGCCATGTCCCGCGGTAATTTATCCCGTTGATGCGGTCGAATTGGTCGGCGGTTACGTCTGTGGAGCGGAGGAATTCTTTCTGCAGGACGCCGGCGCAGTTGATCACGTAGTCGAGGCGGGGGAATGTTTTGGAGGCTTCTTCGATGAAGGCGGTTACGAAGGACTCGTCGCTGATGTCGCCGGGGTAGGAGAGGATGTTGACGTTGTTGGATGTTGCGGATTGGATCTGATGCTGGGTTTCGTCGAGCCCTGTGTTTGGGAGGTCGGTTATTGCGATGCGTGTACAGCCGGATGCGGCGAAGGCGATGGCTGTTGCGCGGCCGATTCCTGGTCTTGTTAGGGGTTGTTTGTTGGAGGAGAGGGGTGTGGCTTGCCTCCTGCTGCGCCGGTTATGACTGCCGTGCCGGGGAAGGTGTAGGATGCGGACATGGTGGCTGATAGCTTGAATCCTTGATTCCCCGGTATAGTATATGCTGATCTACGATTCAGAGTAGGAACTGGCGAAATGGCGCCTGCGATGAAGAGATTGCAACGGACGCACTTGATGCAGGTGCTTTATGTATGAGGTCATTGCCGACCCCGCAGCTTATCGCGGCAACCCCACTTACGCTTGGAGTCTGCTATCAATTGGGGTTGATGCAAGACCCCAAGATGGTCGATATAGAAGCTGCCGGGTGCTTTCTATTTCTGGTCGATATTTGACTAGTTCTGTCTATTCGCCATCCCAAGTCTAATCAAAATGCCAAGTCTATCCAAAGTCCCAAGACCATCCAAAGCAACCTTGGAACGAAGCAAACAAGCCTCTAGTTCTTCGCCAAAAACTCCTCACTGAACGGATAATCAATGTATCCCTGCTCCTGCATCATCGCATAGAAACTCGCACGGTCATACTTATTCAACGGAATCCCCTCCTTTATCCTAAACGGCAAATCAGGGTTCGCAATGAAATGCCTCCCAAAGACAACACCCACATCACACCCCTTATACTCCTCAAACGCAGCATGACAGTTCTCCGCATTATACCCCCCAGCCACTAAAACCGGACTCGTCCGCCCCCAAATCTCAAGCATGAACTCAATCCCCTCCGTCTTCTCACAATCAACGTTATTGATCACCCGCGACTCAATCACATGCAGATACGCAAGCCCCATCTCCTTCAGCTTGCGCGTGATATAGCTGAATTGCGGGATCGGGTCCGCCATCTTCATCCCCTGCCACGTATTCCACGGACTAAGTCGGAAGCCCACGCGCTCAGCACCGATCGCGTCGACGAGGGCTTGAGCGACTTCAATCCCAAACCGCGCGCGGTTCTCGATGCTCCCACCATATCCATCGCTTCGCTGGTTCGTCATATCCTGCAGGAACTGATCAACAAGGTAGCCGTTCGCCCCGTGGACCTCCACGCCATCAAAGCCAGCAGCAATGGCGTTCTTCCCGGCTGTGGCAAAATCCGCAATACAGCCCTGGATCTCTTCTTCACTGAGTTCCTTAGGAACAGCCCCATACCCATCCTCAGCGTTCAACGGGATAGGACTCGCACCCCGAACCTCAAACCCACCATCCCCCTTCAGCGTCGCAGGATCCGCAACGCGTCCAACCGCCACAAACTGGCAGAAGATAAAGCTGCCCTTGGCGTGCACGGCGTCAGTGATCTCCTTCCACGCGGCGATCTGCGACTCGTTCCAGATCCCGGGTGCGTGCGGGTACCCGCCGTGTTGCGGGGAGATGATGGTTGCTTCGCTGATGAGGAGGGTTCCTGGGACGGAGGCGCGCTGTTCGTAGTATGTTTTTGCGATGGGGAGGGGGGTGTGTTGGGCGGAGGCGCGGAGGCGGGTTAGGGGCGCCATTATGACGCGGTGGTTTAGGGTGACGGTGCCGATGCGGAGGGGTTGGAATAGGGGAGATTGGGGTGATGGAGACATGGTTGGTTGTGGTGAATGGAGATTGATTGAAGAGGTGTAGATGTTTGTGGCCTGAGGCGATCTGCTCTATGCAGAGGGTGGATGAAGAGTCACGGTGCTTGTGAAGCAAATTTTTCGGTTTTATTCGGAGTATAGAGCCTGACGCCCAAGGCTCTATACACTGATTTCTAATCCTTGCCATTTTTCAAGCCGCAGTGGAGCCCTGTTGATTTTGGTAAAACCCTTCATTGGCGGGGGAAATTCAAGCTTAAGAGCCTGCAGCCAATGGCCAGATGAACCGAGAGAGAGGGTGGAGCTCGGCCCGCTACGTGTGCTCCGAAAATAGCCCGAGTTCAGTCCTGCAGTACTTGAGCCTCGTTGATGGAATTGACAATGATGAAGGGGCAATCCGGGCCAAGATTGAGGAAGCGAAAGTGCTACATAGAGCAACAGTCGCTAAGCGTTCAATCGTTCATTCTCAGCTCATGATCTTGTACCCTACTTTGCTCCTTAGCAGTTTGTATGCATTGTTGTTGGATGTCATTCGACGGTTTCATTGTAATTGGGAGCGGATATCAAAATTATTGTCCTAAAAACTGATGGGGTACTCTCTTACTTGAGACTCGTGATCAGTCGCTGCAAGAACAACCTTATAAGTTATACAAATATCGGCTCGGCAGAGAGGCCGAGAATGCGGAGAAGACATCCCATCCACTGGAGTCTGGACTCAGGTCCCGAAGAGCTTGGTTCCTCCGCTCCGCTAAGCGTTCTCTCTATGTGGAGATACATACGGAGTTTAGTGTCCTTCCTATTCTGATTCGAACCTATATCTTTCCAGCTGGTCCAGAGGTCGCAATGTGGGATCCGAAACAATTACATGCCTGTTAGCTGGATAACTGGCACCAGAACGCCATGAAAGGACGCGATGTGTCATTTCTTGGTATCAAATATTATACCTAACAACTGCAACGCAACAGGAGTTGATAGACTACTCAGGACGTAAGGAGCAAGAACTATATCTTGTTACCTGAGAAACTTCGTTGAACAGTCGTCAAATTCAAGGCCCATAGATAACGACAGCTCCAGTGACTACGCTGATCTTTGGCAAGGTGCTATCTTGTCTGCGCGTACATGACCGCAACCCTATCAACCCGGCATATGTCCCGGCCCGCAATCCATCTGGCAGTTGGCTGTGCGAACATGCTGGAGCTAGTGTGTTGTTATACTGAAATCTAGTGGATATCTTGCCGCGACGTATCCATTTTTTGGGTATACTAGAGTATATACACCTAGTTTACTAAGGGTGGCAACAAGAGCTTGGCGGCGTGGCAACAGTAAGGTTATGTAATCATAAGGTAACTTATACTAAAGGTACGCCCTATAGCCACCCTAAGTGGTAAATTAGCCCAAAGTACAGTAATATTACACTTTCATTAGTATCAATTTTAATTTCCACATACTTTACTCCCAATTCCAGCGTATTCTCGCCTGGTGTTCATACTCTAGCCAACTGCGGGATGGATGGCCACTCTTACACAAGTTGAAGCGGAGGCGGGCCAAGTTCCGGGTCAGGGGCCTGCGACCTGGAACCTGGGGTGTCAGATCAGCCACTAAGTCCACGTTGGCCACTCAAAGCTTGCTTTTTAATTAGATACGGAGCTTGTTTGTGCTGCTCGCCTCCTCGCCCGGAAGCCATGCCGGCTGCCCATAATGCTGCACCAGCTGGTATAATAGAGCTGGCAATCCTTGTCCTTGCCAATGAAGACGGGAATACTGAACTCATAGATCAAATGGAAAAACTTGTGCTCTTGCCATAATATGAGGCGTTAAGGGAGCCTTGGTGACTTTGGCCTCTAAATAAGGGCTGTTCGGGAATCTGCTACAGGCCGAGTCATGCCTGACGACATCCCATTTCCATGACATTTCCAAACAGTCATCGCATAAGGAATTTGTGGGGAAACATATCTTATCTTTCTTATCTCCCTTGAGCATATTGTTATCATTATTGAAGCTATGTGATAATTCTATGACTACCTTGACAACCCCAGATTCTGCCCTCCGCATGGAGATCACGCCCTTTGACCATGCCAGACTTAAGGTCTAATCATACCAAGGCTCAATATGTAGCTTGATATATTGGCAGTGGGGAAATCTGGGGTAGAGCATGGGGTTGCCCAGCTTCCAAGCGTACACAAGCTTCTCACTGATCAGCCATTGTCAGACACTGACCTCTGACATGGCAAAACCGTTATCTTCTATCTTCTCCAACTGAACCGTGCCCCGGACTGGTATCTCTAGCTGACGCAAGACCCGCTTTGCCCCTTTCCGGTTATAAGGGCAGATGCTTTGCCAGTGAGGGATGGAAGGGGCAGTGTTGTTTCTCACATTCCACCCACCATGAACTACCACAATGAATCTCCCGACTACGACATGAGCAAGTCCAAGGCGCCGGCCGCCTTCCCACCTGCACAATCCGAAGACGAGCCCAAACTGGGCGAGATCCGCGAGACCGACCGAAATGCCTACGAAGAAGGCGTGGCGAACTTCACCCGGCTCGGCTGGAAACGTCTAACGATCGTGCTGATCGTCGAAGCAATTGCACTAGGAAGTCTATCCATCCCATCAACATTCGCAACACTCGGCATGGTCGCCGGCGTGATCTGCTGTATCGGGCTCGGCCTCCTCGCTATCTACACAAGCTACATTGTTGGAGAAGTCAAGCTGGCCTTCCCCGAAATTACCAACTACGCCGACGCAGGCCGGATCGTGGGCCAGCGGTTCGGATGCGGCACCGCCGTGTACGAGGTCATCAGCGTCATGTTCTGCCTGCAGCTGATCCTGATCGTTGGCTCACATTGCTTGACCGGGACAATCGCCCTGGTCAAAATCACCGAGAGCAATGTCTGCTCCGTGGTATTCGGCGTCGTCTCCGCAATAGCCTTACTCCTCCTCGCCATCCCGCCGACCTTCGCTGACGCCGCGATCCTCGGCTACATCGACTTCGCCTCGATCATCCTCGCCATTGGCATCACAGTGATCGGAACGGGCCACTCGGCCGCAACATCCCCAGGCGGCCTTGCAGGCGTCAACTGGTCCGCCTGGCCAAAAGAGAACCTCACATTCACGGAAGCGTTCATCGCGCTCTCGAACATCATCTTCGCGTATAGCTTCGCGATGTGCCAGTTCTCGTTCATGGATGAGATGCACACGCCGGCGGACTATAAGAAGTCGGTTTGGACGCTCGGCGTGATCGAGATGGTCATCTATACGCTTACGGGGGCGCTGGTGTATGCGTTTGTCGGGCAGGGCGTTATCAACTCGAGTCCGGCGCTTCTGGCGGCGGGGCATACGCTGTCGCGCGTGGCGTTTGGGATTGCCCTACCTGTGATTTTCATCTCGGGGTCGATTAACACGGTTGTGTTTGGGCGGCTTGTCCATGGAAGGATATTTGCGGACTCGGCGATTCGGTTTGTGAATACGCGGATGGGCTGGGTTACGTGGTTGGCTGTTATTGCGGCGGCGACGGTGGTGGCGTTTGTCATTGCGGAGGTTATTCCGTTCTTTAATGACCTGCTTTCGATCTCGTCGGCGCTGTTTATTAGTGGGTTTACGTTTTACTTTCCGGCGATTATGTGGTTTGTTCTGCTTAGGAAGGGGGGGTGGTTTGAGGGGTGGAATATGCTGTGGACCGTTGTTAATGGGGTGATTTTCGCGATCGGGCTGATTGTTCTTGTTGGGGGGACGTACTCGAGTGTTGATGATATTGTAAGTTCTTGTCCCCGATGATCTTGGTGTTGAATGTGAGTGGCCTGCTAACATTCTTCTCTCTCAGATTTTGAATTATAGATCTGGCTCGGTTCGCGGTGTCTTTACCTGTGCTTTACCAAGTTAGATTGTTTCTTTAAAATTGCCACGTCAATTGCTACCACCCTGTAACTGAAATACATACTTTAATACCATGGATGATCAAATAGTCCTGCTGTTCCAGTTTCCTATCCTCTGTGCTCGACTAGTACGTATGAGCCAGGAACTATGGTAAGATGACCGGCCTTTCAAGCTTCCAAATGATGGGCACTTTCCATCGGATATCTAATCGGGAAAGGATGCGAGGACATATTATATCCAACCTTCATCGCAGCAGTCATGACCCAGGAAGGAGCTATCCTATGTCCGATCATTTGATATATTGGCTTGATTGCCAGCACCAGAATCACCAGGCTAATGGCCTCCGCCGCGGTCGTCTGTTTTATTTACATGAACAGCGCTTCAACTCTGGGTTCATACCATAAATAGAGTCTCGGGCGGGGCGGCCCGTAGCCGTACCATGAGTATGGTACTACTACTTTGGCCGTCACATTACTAGGTAGGGATATCCCTGGTCTAACAAACCAGTCCTGGCATTTACCGATTGTCGGAGGGCAATCCTTCGTTGTGGTGAGTGTTATGGGTGAGTGGCATTGGTCAGGCTATGTATGCACGGCTTTTGTCTGATCAATTTCTTATTTACGGAGAGTTCCATGGACTACGTACAAAGGTAAATTGTGCGGGTGCAGGTGCAAATCAAAGCAAGTGAAAAGGCTCAATACCTACTCACTAAACCCATCAGACTCATCCTCATCCTGCTCGGCCATCCGCACCGCCCGTCGATACTCCTCCAACCGATCCGCCTGCCCGATATCATCCCAAACCAAACGATCCGACATTTCGAGGCCGCCATCATACAGCGAATCAGACTGCAGTACTAGCCGCTGGTGCTCGCCGATCGTGCGATCTACAATCCCGTCCGCAAACGGCGTGGTGACGAGCAGCTTGAAGTTCGGACGTAACGCATCGTCTGTCACCAGTTTGTTTAGGATGAGCATCACGTCCCAGAGGTCGTCGAGCCAGGGCCCGTATTCGAAGCCCGTTATTCCGTCAATGATGCAGATCACTGTTTGCCTGGGCGGGAGTTGCTCGATTAACTGTCGGAAGGTATGACAGAGCATGCGGAGGGAGTGGGATTCGATGTCGTTGGCAAATTGGCGGGTGTTGATGAAGTCCAGGTTGAATTTGTGACCGCTGCAGAACAGCAGTTGGAAGATAAGACTCCGTATGAGGCCATTGGGTCCGGTGACGGTTCCCTCTGTGCCTGTCTCGTGGAGGCCGCAGAAATGATGGAGGGTAATTGCGTTGGAGTTCTGATGCAGGCTCAGTACAAGCAACGCGCAGAGAACAGACAAGGCAGAAAGCCGACCGGGGCCAAGGTCTTCGAAGTTCCCATTGACCCACAGCATGTCTGGAGATTGGGATGAGATCCAGCGAGAGAACCTAGGGGTCTGAAGAAGTTGGCGCGCGTGGCTCTGCGTTGCGTCGTCGAATTGATGCTGCTCCTTTAGTACCGTGTCGAGATCCTCCAGGTGCTCGCGGAAATAGACTCCCAAGCTCTGCATCAAGTCGGTCTCGGACAGCCATTGTGCTGGAGATTGAACCGGCGACGAGTGCTGACTGTTGGATAGAACCTCTATCGGTGAAGGGTGGTCAACAAAGAACGAACGCCTTATTACGAGCGGTTCTCTTACCAAAAGGACTAGAAACCAAGAAAACCACCACCCGGTTCATGACGTCCAGCCCGAGCTGGTCTTTCCGACTGATGCCGCCGTACTTCCACGTCAGATCGACTGTCTCCGTAGAAAGTTGCCGTTGCAGCGCGGGATCAGGCCCAGTATCTTTGTTTTGCTGCCCCCTCTCTTTCAGTCCCTCCATTTCACTCTGCAGTTGATCAATCTTTGCCATAATCTCTTGCAAACTGGCCGAGTTGGATACGGCGGCACCATAGGTGTCCAGTCTGATGTCGTCGCGAATCAGCTCAAGGCACTCTTGGAATTTGCCAGCCTGGGTTGACACCGTTGCCAATATAGTATCGATGTTTTTCCCTCGTATACTGGAACCGAAGAGTCGCTTCCTGAGTTGGCTGACGCGGTCCCAGAACTGGTGCTTCGAGTTGATGTCTCCATTCAACAGAATAATCAATTCCGCCAGTGCCCGAATGACGGTTTCGTAGAAGGTGATGGCACTTTGTCGAATATGCCTGGCAAAGTGGAACCGACTCTGTTTCTTTGCCGTCGTAACAATAAGCGTCGGGATGTCCTGGAACGCTTGGAGAATTTTCTCGCGGTTGTCGGCGTTTCGCCTTGCGATCTGTCTCATCCATGTATCTGTCAGGACATCAAGAACAAAATGGGAAGATCGCGTACGCCAAAAATCATCTTTAGGCCGGCACTGAGCACGTTCAGGCCGTTGTCTGCTGGAACCAGGTCGCACCAAGGGCTGATCTCGACCGAGTAGTCACCCGCCGCCCGTGCGATTCTGCGGATCACATTTGATGTCCCTGTGGCCTTTTGCTTATACACTGTGACGGCTGCATCGAGCTCACCGAGGACATCGTTGAACGTGCACTGTTTAACATTGAAGCGCAAGGCCACCTCGGCAGTCGCATTGTGGACATCGAGGACTTCCTGGAGATCACTTGACTGTGGATCAGCGTAACCGCGCGCAGTGGGATAGAGGCGCAAACCTGACGACGGTCAAAGGGGCAAACTCCGCCCGTTGCAGGTCGAACTTTGCAGGAACCGTCAGGGCTTCATGCAGGTCTTTTCCATTTTTCAGGGTGTAGTCAGCGGCGACTTCCTTTTGCTTCCGGATATCGTCTTGACGATCCAGCTTCCGCCAGCGGTTGAGCATGATTGCGGCAGTAAGGGTAATGCGAGCGTCGGCATGAGATGGACGGGTGCAGGTCCAATCAAGCATATAAGATAGGCCGCTGGCAGTGCGTAATCCTGCGGGTAGAATGCTGTGGCTTGAGGCCAACGGGCTGATAGAGTCAGAAATTGTGCTGGATCTGACATTTAGCATTGGCTGTAAGACACCCCGAGCTAGGGTTCGTCAGAAACAGCGAGATACTGAAAGTTGCACCGCATTACCACGTCAATTGCAAAGAGTCCCCGAAGCCCAGCGCGGGGACCATTGAACAACAAAGAAGTGGCAGCCGTTCAGCTCTGGCAGATTACACAGAGCTGTCCTTGTGAACCACCTTGGGGAAGCATGTCATCTGGAGCGATGGTCCTCCATTGGTCAATGGTCCCCGAGATGCATCGTCCAGCCTTTGTCCTACCCCGGCCGTCAGACGGGTTGGTTCGTTCGTATTCCAACCATTTCCAGCCCCCCGTAAAGCTGAACATCAGAGAGTGGGGTAATTGAATGAGCATGTGTTGAACAAAGCTGGAGATCTGGAGGCCGACCGGGCTCTTTCCACTCTATACGGTATAAACAGCCCAGTGTGCTTTCCGAATTTGATTCCACAGATGTTGGCTTAGGGTTATCTCAATCTTCTCCATCTGACATGCCGATGCAATGGCTACCCTTGAGCCAACAAACGAAACCCCTAGCAATGGTGTTGTCGCCAATGGCCCGGCGACAGCCCCTGGAACGCCCCTTGCCAAGGACCAGGTCGAGTATACACGGATGCTCGAGAAGCGACTGAGCGAGTTGGAAAATCGCCTACTTCACCTAGAACTGCAAAACAAGGAGCTTGTCAGCAAGCGTGTCGTGAATGGGGACAACGTCGAGAGTGAGATCGACAACACGGCAAAGAGCCCGTCAGACGACGATGCAGGGCCTGAACCGGCCCAGCTCCCTATCGTACGGGAGATCCGTAAACTAAACTGGATTAATTTTGCAAACCGTTTCCCGGACCAGAGAGATTCGGCGCTGATTGAACTTCTCATGGGCCCGCCGTCGCTGGAAGAAGAGTACAAGAAGGACGACGTCTTTTGCGAAAAGCTGCGCCTGGTCGGTGCCGAAGAGGCACAGCAGCTGATGCAGACTACACGAGAGCGTAACGTTATCCGACCTGGCGCCTGCATTCAGTCGGTCCGCATCACCTCGATTCCCCTTTCCCGAGAGCTGCTCGAGATTTTTGATGCGGATGAGAATACCTCTTCGAACCCACTGGTCTTCAGCCGGCCATTTGTGCCGTTGATTCACTACTTCGATGAGTTCAAGAAGAAGCTGATCGAGTTGAAATCCGAGTTTGGCTTGACTGAGGAAGAGCTGGAGGATGAGTCGGGTATGCCGCCAGCTGGTGAAGAACCGCTGCCAATCACTGTCATGACTTTCTCTGAGAAAACGAGGGCCGACAACATCTGTCTGCTTAAGGATTTCCGCTATTTGATCCAGTTCCTAGAGCAGGAGATACTTCCACTTGCAGACATGTTTGACGCCCCGGGCAGACACAAGAAAGTTTGTTTCGTTGACCTGTGGCATCTGTTTAGGGTTGGCGAGTACATCTACAACACCGACGCAACGGCGTCTTTTCAGACCAACCCCATGTCGGTTGTCACTGCTGACGGGGACCAGAAGCTATGGAAACTGTTTTGGAAACGGGCGTTCGACGATAAGTTCGAGCTCAAGTGCTACCGCATCGACCATAACGGAGAGGCCTACGTGTGCATCCCAACCACGTTTACCATTGAATACTTCAAGGGAGAGAAGGATATTGCCGATCTCGCTGTCTACCCTCTTCGCTTCGCGGAGAAAAAGGAAGAGCTTATTCGAGAATGCCAGGAGACAGGTCAGAAGTGCAAAGAGTGTCTGGACGGACAATTCCTTCTACACACTGGATGGGCCCTGACGCCCGACTCTCAAAGCTCCCTACAGTACATAGCCAGCGATGTGATCATCGACGCGGGTGAGGCGATGAAGCTCCATTTGAACTGGAAGTTCAATTCGAGGTACCCAAGTACAGACACCGGAGACAGAGGCTACGCGGACTCCTCGCATGTAATGTTCTACTGGCGAATCAAGGACCAAAAGGCTGTCTCGTCGAATACGTACAACTCGTACTGGATCGACGACTGGGTCGGCCGCAAGGAGAAGATTGATTACTGCGAAAAGGACTCATTTCTTTCATACGGCATGAAGGGCAAGGAGAAGGAATACAAGTTAAGGGACGAAGACACTGTGCTTTTGCCACGCCGCCTATTTGCCTATGTCCTCCAGGAGCGGCGTTTCGTCGCGGTCGATATTCGAAACCTCTCGCGGGTCAAGAAGTCCGCAGGTGGGAGCTTCGAGAACCTGGTAATCGATCCGGACCATATGAGTCTGCTGCAGTCCCTGGTGCACTCGCACTTTACGCGCAAGAAGATCCAGGACTCTGGATTCTACAGTGTCAATCAGGACATTGTGCATAACAAGGGGCGCGGTCTTGTTATTTTGCTCCACGGCGTTCCAGGAGTTGGCAAGACCTCAACAGCAGAGACCATTGCCCACGAGTGGAGCAAGCCCTTGCTTCCTATCACGTACGGTGACCTAGGCCTATCACCTGCCAACGTTGAGGGCAAGCTCAAGGACGTCTTCCGCCTCGCTCAGCTCTGGGGCTGTATCCTGTTGCTGGACGAGGCCGACGTCTTTCTTTCGGAGAGGAAGCCTACCGATTTAGAGAGGAATGCCCTCGTCTCCGGTGAGTCTGCCGTCTCTGATTCTATCACCTTGCTAAGTATAAGTAGTCTTCCTCCGGGTGCTGGAGTACTACACCGGAATTCTTTTCCTCACTACCAACCGCGTGGGCAACATCGACGAGGCCTTCAGGTCCAGAATCCACATCAGTCTACACTACCCCAACCTGGGCAAGAGAGAGACGAAGCGGATCTGGAAGCTGAACCTCGACCGCCTGAAGACCATCGAGGACGAACGGGCCACCGCAACCAACCAGGCGCCGCTGACGATCGATGTAGACGGCATAAGTAAGTTCGCGGTACAGCACTACAACGAAAGCCAACAGGGTAAAGGAAGATGGAACGGACGGCAGATCAGAAACGCCTTCCTGATTGCCTCTGCCCTCGCGCGGTACGAAAAGGAAAACCCAGACTCCAAGTCCCAGCCCTTGATCAACCTCTCGCGCTATGACATCTGCGCCAGGCACTTCAAGACCGTTGCCGACGCGGGCTCGGGCTTCGACAAGTATCTCTACGAGACCAAACGCAAGACGCCCGGCGAGGTTGCCTTCGTGCAGGGGTACCGCAATGACTCGGTCAACCACAAGTTCTCGCAGATGCCCAACATTCACTACCCTCCAGCTCCAGGCCAAATGGGCGGCCACCCCAATAACCAGGGCTTCTTCCCCAGCACGCCCAGTCCAATCCCCCAGGGCCAGGGCCATTACGAGGGCCTCCAGATTCACAATGCCGGGGCACGCCAGTCCCAGACACAGTTTGCCCAGTATGGGTATTCACCGGACGGCTCCCGTGGCCAGCCATATCAGCATGGGCACGATCTGAATCCCGTCGCTTCTCCGCAGATGGGAATGGCCCCGGGAGGATACGGGCAGGGCTTGAGTATGGGCATGGGGATGGGGTTGAACTCCGGCTTTAACCTCCAGCAGCCGCCGGTTACCCCGAGTAAGCAGCCGGTCCAGGGGTCACCAGGTGGTCTCCAACATCAGGACGGGTATTCCGGTCCCACGCGGCCTGGCGATGATGATACCGATTCTGACTAGTGAGGTGAGAGGTAAGGGATACTATAGTAGTAATCTCTTTTTGATGTCTTTTCTGAAAGTAGTAATAAATACGCCATTTGATTCAGCAATTTTATATTGTGTAGATCCCACTTGTTCATGTTCAGTGTTGCTGTACTCGGCCGGTATTTCTTCCAGCATCGACTGCTATGTTATGTTATAGCGCCAAGTGATCCTCGTGTTGAATACCATAGTCTCGAACAAAGGCTGACGGTCATTCTCTCAATACCATTCCAAGCACCTACCCTAGGGTACATTTCACTGGGTTCTCTCCTTCTGGTAGGATGGTCCTTCCAGTGATTACCAACCCTCTCCCACTCAGCCTATGGTACATCTTCGGCCGAGTTTGTGTGCCACCACAACAAAAGTCCCATCAATTCTCCGATTTATCGTCCTCAAAGTACCCGTGAACATTATATACCGCCAAGTTCTGTATGACGGCAAGGCTGTCTAGCTAGCTCAGAACCACGCTCCCGGGACGTTCCTAATACCACGCATCTCTTACTTCAAAATTCACCATCACAGCGTTCTCTATAGGATTAAAGGGGTATGATTAGTGACATTTTGTCAGTGCTGTCTTCTCATATGTCCCAACGTGCAGCGAAAGTTTTCGAGGAGAGGTAAGACTCAGTCACGTGGCTTGTGGCCAATCAGCTCACTCGGTGACTTGAGCGCAGCTTGTCAAGTCGTCATTGATTATCGTCACGACATTTTGAACAGCCACACGCCAGAGCTTATGGTGAGCGTCTCGAGATCTGTGGTGGCTTGTGGCTTCTGTTGCCTTCTTGAGTCATGACTGGATGCCCTTTGCTACAATGTAGGGTGCTAGAGGCAGTGCATACAAGGCTGCGCCTCTCAGCTGTCTATCCCTGCCCATCAGGAAGCATGAAGGTGATCTTAAATGCAGGTGCTCTTTCCCCGGCGGGAGCCTTTCCCACTTGCAGCTTCAGCCCGTTCGGCGTAGCGGTAGCGGATGATGCAGAGTCAAGCGCTCATTCCATGTCCATCGGGACCGGGCTTTAGCCAGCAGGGAAGCCTGGACTGGATTCAGCTCGTGAGGTCAAGCTATTCAATTCCGCGGGAGATCCTGTCTAGGTTTTCTCAAGCCGGCGTTGAGCCTCTGACTCTCACGGTCGGGCAAGCGATCTTCTCACGCTTTGTTTTACCACCATGTACCCAGCAAAAGATCGAGGAAACACTCGCTACCCTCAAGCCATTCTCGTCGTATGGCCAAGTGCTTTGGTTTGGCTTTGGGGTCAAGCATGTCGCCAGGCTCCTTGTTGAGTCCGAGCAGGGCATGATCTGCCTTGCACTATGCGGAAGCCTTTCCGTGTCTTACGAAAAGTTCTACTGCGCCCAGGTACTGCGATCCATGACGCAGCTCCAGAATGCTTCCGGTGATCTCAGCCCCTCCATCTCCCAGTGGTCGCAGCTGATCAACATCTGCTCGGGAACGCTGCTATCTTCCGACTTTCCAAACATAGTCGAGGGGTTTTCGCGGCTTTGGTACAATGCACAGAATCCAGCAATCTGGCAACAACAAGGCGGCACGCCCCCTGATTCTCTGGGTCAGGCATTGCTCACCCTTTTCGACATTGCAAGCGGGTCTCTTCAAAGCGCAACCTTTGTCGGGGGTCCCGACTGTGCATGGATAGCCGCTGTTGCAGAGTGGATCTTGTGTCTCTCGGTAGAGGTCCGCGATGCAGAGTCTGACGAGAGCCTTTATAGAAAAGTGGGCGATGGTCACTGTCACGAAGCTCAAGTGACAATACTCCGAGCCTTCCACAGAGAGCCCATGGTACGCCTGAAGGACAAGATTTGCTTCCTCCCCAGTGGTGTCAGCGATTTTCATGCGACCACGGCCGGCGACAAAAGGGTTTTCGCCAGAGCACGCTCATCGTGGGAGACTATCCTGTCTGATACGTTTCCTGGAGATGCTTTGCAGCGTCTCTTATCATCCGAGGCAGTTCGTGCCTTTTTCGTCATGCCACGGTTCTAGCCAGCGACATGGCCGGCCGTCAAACTTGGTGACGGCAAAGACGTGCCGAAATCATTGTCCGAACTCGAACCGGTCTGTCTTTTCCACAAATTGATCTAACCATGTCTATGGCTGCTGATATTATTTATTCCATTTGTGCCTGCAACGACAACACCACCACCTTCGGTAAAGCCCATCACAGCGAATTTTGATGACGCAGGTTAACCGGCAACCTTTGCATATACGCATAACGACTGCAATCATCCACTATATCTAAATACTCGGGCGTGTTCGGGTTGACCAAGACTACGTTCCGTCACCGTGTGGTCTGCGGCATCTCTATTAACGATGGTAGGACTGTTCGAGCAACCATATATGCAACATACTTGCCACTATACTGCATATACTGACTAGAATTCCAGTGCAAGGCGATGCTAGCCTGTGGTTTGAATGTCTCGGCGATTTCTTGATCCGGCAAAATGCGCGTGGCCGTCGCAAGTGGGATGTTTGACTCAAAAGATAGACTTTTGTGCGTGGGTATATATAGATGGGTATCTATTGATAAAGAGACATGGGTAGAATTAGATATCTGTACAATTCACGCAGGCGTGGTTTAAGTTGTTTAACAGTTCAAATATAGATTGTCCTGTGGTTCTTGAGTTTTATGACTTTCAAAAGATTTGTATGTATCTCTCTCTCTCTCTCGGTCTCTTACAATGTCTAAAACAAAAGTAGCAGGATAGTATTCCTGCCGTGACAGTAAAGACTGGTTTATCTGGATAGCAACGCCCTCACGCTCCACCTAGATTATAGAGTGGCCCAACTCGGCCCTTAACCCTACTTAGTTTGAGGTTTCCATTACAAACCTTTCTAGCATCTATATCTAAACCCGGACATAGTGAGCCTCGTAAAATGGCCATTGATGTCAAGGATATAGACTCGACCATCTTGCTTCCATTGCTTCTAACCCTTCTATACCCGGTGTGCGCATAATATTACCTTGTTATAGCGAATTCTGACCGCGCGAAGTAATTTTACACATGTTCCTTGATCACCAGGGCGCATTGTAACCGGGATAAATGTAAATATATATTATCTTGTCCAGCCGATGGAGAATGCCATCATCCACTGTAGTCATGACTCCGACTCCGGGAAGCCCGCTACGGCTGAAACGCTCAAAAATAAGTATATTTAAGAAGTTATTTATGGCAATGGGTTGCCGCTGTATTCTGTCCGCTGTGGAGCGTGGACCGACGAGTTTCGAGTATGTGGGTGGGTGGGTGAGTAGGTGAGGGAGGAAGGAAGGGCTTCGAAGCATTAATTTATCGAGATTCCATCCACCAGCAAACAACCACGAGAGGTATAGTCACCATCTTGAATCAGGATGTGTGTGTGTGTGTGTGTGTACCAACGAAAAGCAGATGAACGAAATGCAAAGGACCGATTTATCATTGGCGATGGTAAAAAAAGAAAAAGTAATGGGATGAACCGGGATCGAACCGGTGACCTCCAGATATACTAGGACTAAAGTTGTCACGACTTCAGTCTGGCGCTCTGCCAACTGAGCTATCGCCCCATTTGATGAAAGACTGCCGTCATCTTTGGATTATACTCACTTACAAAAAAAACTGTCCTCTCATTTTCTATTTCGTACCTTGCAGAGTACAGATGCTGAGTTATTGGCATAGGGGCACCCAACACTCAAAATCTGCGTATATAAGCGCAACCAACTCCTGCGGAGATCTTTGGCATTGCAGGGGTCGATTAAGTACTTATTTGCGTTCTTTGCTGTAAATTGGCGGGCGTTTTCCACACCATCTCCTGGCGGAAAGGGTCCTCCTGAATGAGGATATATATATCCAACATCCAACAATAACATCACACATCTGTGCGCACTTTAAGCGCACTTTACAATTGGTATAAGAGGAGACTCTATAAAAGAACATCGAACAGCCCTTTAATTATTCATATATAGCACTGGAACTTGCGGCTGCACCAGCTGCCTAGAGGTGATGTATGGACATAGGGCTCGACACCCTCTCTGCCAGGCAACGCCATTGGCCCGACCGGCCCCACCCCCGTGTTCCCAGCCCATCTCCAACCTCACCTCGACACGTCCTGAACAATCCCTCCTCGACAAAACAGCATCCAAAATGGCCAGAATGGACTCCCTGAGCCTCGAGCTCATTGAACTAATCGTGCTCGAACTTCTCGAGCTTCTCGACTTCGACACACCCCATGACAAAAGCATCAATCCGTCACTAGCTCCCTACGCGCGCATCAACCGCAAATTCCATGCCGCTGTCGAGCGCAACTTATACCGGCGCGTTGAGACGTCCAGTCGGCACCCGGAGCGATTGCAAGCTATTAACGCGTATGCGCTTCGCAAGGCGGCGCTCCAGGAACTGAGCTACGTCATCGAGTTGCCAGAGTACGATCCGAACCGGGAGTATGCGCTGGAGCGGAGGAAGGAGCATCGCGCGAACCAGGCTGCATTCCGGGATGGACTCGTGAGGATCTGGAATGAACTCAGTGCGTGGGAGAAGCTGCCTTCGCTGTCGCTGGACCTGAGCGCGTCTTCGAAATGCGATGGGGGGGATTGGGGGTTTCCAGATCGCTGGCTGTGTCCGGAGCATAGTTTGAGTGTTGGCGACGACGTCGAGCTGCCGACTGTACAGTGTGTGCAGGACTTGGCCGTTGCCAGAGACGGGCGGCGCATCCATCCGGCTACGATCGAGTCGATGGTGCTCAGCCTGCCGAATCTGCGGGTTCTGTCTCTCGGAATGCGCGCTGTGCAATTCAGGTTTCAAGACCTGAGGGCCGAGTATACCGCTACCCTGGCCAGAATGCTTGAGGCTCCTACCCTCGGCAAACTTGAAGTCCTCAACCTCTCGCTCTGGGCACACCCACCGACCAACCACGACTTCAACACGGGGTTGCAGCCGGACCCCTCATACCCAGCCGGGGACGTCCTAAGCAATGCAATCCGCAAGCTAGCACAGCGCAGCCTGAGGCAGCTGGAACTACAGGACAACGTCCCCATCTCACCGGCTCTTTTCGGACCCCCAGAGGACGACACCCCCTTCCCGCACTTGGAGTACATCGACATCCAGTTCCCCATCCTTACGTACGACGGGCGCTGGTACTACACCGGCGACCGGCACGCCGTTGAACCGGACACACCATTCGAGACAGAAGTAGAGCAGATTCACAATGGATCCTCACTAGACGACGGCCCCTCGGACACCGACTCGGTTATCTCGCTCAACAATTCGCGCGCGGACTTCCTAAACGGGAATATCCCGGCTCACGAATGGCGGACGAGCCCCGATCCATGCATGTTCGATCCATTGGTCCACTCTGTCGCCGCCGCGGCGCTGCACATGCCGAAATTAAGGAATCTTCTTCTTACCACCCTCTACGAATACGCGTTCAGCGACCACGCGGAGGAGAGGGAGCAGAGGTGTGCGGTTAAAATCAACTACGCGACGCCTGAGTGTTATTTTGGTTCCTTACGATATCCGAATATGGGGCTCGACGGGCATACGAGGTGCAGGTGGGTTGTGAGTTTGGGGACGGGGGTGAGTTGGGATGTGCCGGAGGATATACGGGGGATTATGAGGGAGAAGGTTGGCGATGCAGGGGATGTCGTGGTTTATCGGTCGAGGTCGTGAGGTGCAGATTTTTATGGTGAAGGATATAGTGCTAGTTAAGCTTATAAATAATATACACAAATATCCCTTAAGCCCAAGGCTTACTCTGTTAGTAATAAGCGCTTAAGGTACCTTGTTAAACTTGCATATCTACCCTATAGCTAGCGCCTTTTAAACCTTTAAAGACAGGCATGGGATGTTTGCATTAATAGCATTTAAAGGTAAAGCTAGGGCTTAAGGCAACTACCTACCGCTACTTTTATAGTTATAAATAAATTAAATTTATTATTTATAAGGGCCCTGCAGCTTTGCTAGGTGGTTCCCACGCTATTTCAAGGGCATTGGTAGATATCTCTAGTTCCTAGTTGGTCCCTTGCAAGTGAGGAAGTATCTCAACTATACTACGGCCAAAGGGTGAGGCCGGGGTTGAGGATATCCGGCAGGGTATCCTTCGTACTGTACGACTTCCTGAGCGTGCAGGAAGTGGTAATCAAACTCACCAGCGAAAGTGGACGGTGCAAGTGTTTGGTTTCACCTAACAGCCCACGTACTGTCCACTAGGTCCGGAGGCAAAGACGCAATAGGGCATCCATCCGGCCCCCCCGTTGGATAACGCCCCCTCAAGGGCTGTCCGCTAACCATGCATCAAGTATACGCAGTAAATTGCCGATGGGGCTTCGAAGTCCCTAGAAGCACCGTCTACTTACTTGTGCTGCCAGGTCCTCAATCCAACCCAGGCAAGAACCTATAAGTACGCCCTCAAGGCCCCTGAACACACCCTCCAGCTCTCATCATCAACAACAGCACCAGATCCTCCAACCTCCCGTCCTATTTGAGCGGGACGGAAAGGGACTATATATCATAATTCAGCGACGGCGCGGACTGTGATGGAAGGGAGATGGGACAAGAAACTTGTAAATAGCCAGTATTGAACAGAGCCACGGGCGCCTAATGCATCAAGCCGGCGGGAAGCTGAGAGAGAGTCGATAGTCAGGGCTACGAGCTACGACTACAAGTATTCCAATCAAGGGGAAAACGCGTTGGCATCAAATGCGCCGGGACTTTCATTAAATCTGCTAATTCATAGTCGACAAAGCGACAGAGGGGTATAAGAACAGTCATGAACCATATCTTAGCTAGACATGAGCTAGGCGCGAAAGCCAGGCAGTCCAGTCTTCATAGAACGAAAAGCAAATCCCCCCTCATACCTGCACCGTAGTGGGCGCATCCAGTCATGAAACATGAAGCGTGGTAATACATCCATCCCCTTGTCGAGGAAAGAAAAGAAGAAAAGAGGACTTAGTCTTCTAATCTAATCAATCCCCATTAATGCAAGTGCTCCACCTTCTCCACCTTCTCGGTACTCGTGTCATCAGTCGACATCCGGTCTGCCTTGGAGTGGTGCTGAAGAATACTCGCGCGGTTGAACGCATCGTCTTCGACGTCGCCGGGCTGACGCATGAGCTCGCCGTGCTTGCCGTACATGTGCGGTTCCTCTTTCGCGGTGCGGACGAGCGAGAAGACGCTCTTGGTCTTGCGGAAGATGCGGTCCATTTCTTCCAGCGAGCGGTAGGCGGTCTCGGGGTAGAAGAAGTAGGTTACCGGGAAGATGAAGGCGTTGCTGCATCTGTTAGTGGTAGCTTAGGAGGTAGAGTGGGGAACTTACATGACGGCAAAGATAATGTAGGTCTGGTAGCCGATGTTGTCGAATGCAACGGGGGTGATCATTACGACGAGGAAGTTGAAGATCCAATTTGAGGACGTGGCGAGCGCGTTGGCGGGGGCGCGGATCTTCAAAGGTACGATTTCGGCGGGGTACAGCCAGGTCATGCCGAGCCAGCCGATTGCGAAGAACGTGTTGAAGACGAAGAGGAACACGATGCAGGCTATGTTAGCGGAATTCGTGCCGGCGCTGGCGGTACCGGCGAGAATGGCCATTGAGATGGACATTCCGGCGGCGCCAAAGAGCATCAGCGTGCGGCGGCCGAATTTTTCGACGGTGAAGACGGCAATCCAGGAGGCGAGGAAGTACTCGGTTCCGTTGCAGGCGGCGATGAGACGGGAGTTCTGCAGGTTCATTCCGAGCTGGTTCTCGAGGACGACAGGGATGTAGTAAGTGATCAGGTTGATACCGGAGATCTGCTGGAACATCTGGTTGACGTAGGCAAGGACAGTGCGGTGGAAATGGCGGTCTTCGGTGAAGGTGAACATATCCTTGAAGGAGCCAGAAGCCATTTCAAGCACGGTGGCTTTGATTGCGGTGAACTCGGTCTGGATGAAGCTGGGGTCGCTTCCGTCGCCGACAAGCGCTCCGAGAACTTCGCGCGCTTCATCTTCGCGGCCCTTGAGTACAAGCCAGCGGGGAGACTCGGGGAGGAACATGACAAAGGCGAGAATTATGAGAGCGAAGAAGATTTGGAACGCGAGAGGGAAACGCCAGGCGACTTCGCTGGGATCGGCAAAGAGGAGGCCATAGTCAATCCAGTAGCTGATTGTGATACCGCAAGTAATCATCGCTCCTTCAATCATGACCAGTTGCCCGCGCTTGTTCGCTTTGCAGCATTCGGACTGCCAGGTGGGGACGGTGGATGTGTTCATGCCGTTTCCTGTTTGTGTTAGGGAACTCCTTCAGCAAAATGGGATTCACTCACCGAAACCAGTGACTAGACGTCCGATAATGAATTGAGCCAGATCATAGGACGTGCACTGGAGGAGAGCGCCAATAACCATGATGAATGATCCGAGGAAGATGGTCTTGCGACGGCCAAGCCAGTTTCCAACCCAAATGGTTGGGATGGAACCAGCGAAACATCCGAGATTGTAAGCAGCGACGACAATTCCTACACCAGTAAGTTAGCTGCCTAAACCTCTGCACGACGAGTTGAGAACGTACCCTGACGGGTGGACTGGGTGCTTTGAGCGGCCTTGTCCAAGCTCTCGTAGTAGGAACCGTTGGTGGCAATCGTAGGGAAGTATTTGATGAAGGATTCAAGAGTCAAGAGACCACCGGTGACACCCTGATCGTAACCAAACAGCAGAAAATCCATGCCGGCGATAATACTAATCGCAAGCTGGAGCTTCTGGCCTTGGAGGCCCAGGTAGCTGCGCGCCATATTGAGCTTGCTTCCGAGGATGGGGTGTCAAGCAATTGCGCAGTGTTGGTCCGGTCAAAGGTAGAGGAAGAGAAGGAAAAGAGGTTCTCTGCTGAGAGGGAAAGGACAGAGGAAGGGGGTGGGGAGGAAGAAGAAAAGAGGACGAGGTTGAAAAAAAAGAGAGAAGATCAGCCCAGGTTGCACGAGGGGCACAGCAAGCTTTTTAAACGACAAGGAGGCTCAGGGACATGACAGCCGGGCCATTCAATCCCTGCCTAACACAAGTTGACTTGGAGAGGCAGGCAACCGTAGCATCAACAGCAGCAGTCCCTTGACATCATTGGCCAATGTCTGATCCAGCTCCACCGGGACTCCTGGCGTCTCCGGCTCTGGGTTCTCCAGCTTCGAGTCATCTCCAGGTTTCTCCGTGTGAACCGCCATTGGTTGTGTGGAGGACAAGGGACAATGACGTTGATAGGCCCAAACAGGCCAAAAGGGAGGGATCAGCGGGGGCGTGAGCTTAGTCACAGGGCAGTGGCGTCATGCGCTAGCCTGATCCAGAGATGCCGGTTTAGACTCAAAGACTGTTTAAGAGGCTGGGTTTACTGTGTGTTTGGAAGTTGGAGTTTGGATTCTTCTTGAGGAGCTGTCTGCCTTTCATAGCATGTTAATCTCGGCTGGACTCCTGCGCAGGGATGGTATTAGTTCGTGCGGTGGGCAGATCGCGTGGCGCTCGCGTGGTCGAGGAATGGACGATCAGCTCAGTTTCTTGCCTTGTAGACCGACGTTCAGATGCATTGGAAATACTCCAAAAAGAGGGTAATGTTTGCTATCGACGTCGACGGAGAGCGACTCGTTGAATCCGGGCAAGGGTGGGAGTCTCCTATGGAGGCAGTTGCCACCGCCGGTCTCCAGAGCAAAATCCGGGGTCCGGAGACTCCGGATTCCACAGTACCTTCCCACTTCATCCGTCCTGCTTGTTTTCCCAACTTCATTATCAACATTCCTGGCGGCCGTCCAAATAGCATCGCGTTTATAGCCTCAATACCGAGACTGACGCTCTTGCTACACTCAAATGTTGTTGACCGGAGAATTCCCGACGTAATCCCGCGATATTATCGTGATATCCCTAATGGTCGATAGCGATCCTGAATCCCCAGACGCCCCACTCGAATTGGCTTTCCGAGTCCCTCCTCACCACCGCCAGTTTGCAACCACGTCATGCAAGGAGCCTTCTGGAAGAAGTCAATTTCTGCGGTACTGTTGTACAGAGTCGTACCATGCTTGCTTTTGGGACTGAGGTTCGTGCACTGTTCCAAGTCATCAACAGGGATGTGTTCCTGCCGAGCCTTGGCGGTCTCTGTCCCCCCAGCGACAAGACTCCCAAGCCTTGTCCAAGCTCTCTTCCACAAATCCTCTGCCAGAGCCAAGTCATCCCTCTTGATCCTACAACACCGAGTCCTTGAGGAACTCGGCAACCCGAGTCCCGAAATTTCTATCGCGGAATCGACTGCTTTGAGCCTTTGATCGAATTCCCGAGTGCCTCGCAGAAATGAAGCCATTCGCAGTCCCCGCCGCCCATGCAACCTCCAGATCCCAATCGGCCCCGGCTGCCTTCTCTCACTGGCCACACGACTCGCCCTCGCACCCACTCTCTCCATCTCCCCCGTGCCTCCCCCAACATTCGCAAGACTTTAGCCGGCCGGGTTTTCCTAACCGTCTCGAGTAAGGCTTCACGACGCCGCTGCTTTGCCGGTCGCACGCCGTCGAATCGCGATGCTTTCCCTCGGGATCGCGGGCTCCTATACTCCATCGGCGGATTGCGCCACCTCCAGAGTCCGGCTGCCACGGCTCTCGAATCTGACCACCGTCGTCATATCGGTTGCGCCCGAGCCGACAAGTCGGACTGGAGAGCTTCGGATTACTGCTTTTGGGCATCCCGGAGTGCCATCCATGGTCAGCGTTACCCCGACTTTCGCGCCCACTGCGGAGTACCCAGTCATCGCGTGAGGTCCGTGCCGTGTCGCTTCTCGCTATGACTCGCGCTTCCGACTACTCCGTACGCTCTACACCTCGTGCGTCATTTTTCACTGATACTTCCGCCTTGGATCGGGGCCGCCGTCTCCCGTTTCCAGCAAGTACACTTTCCGACGCTCGGCATGCATAACTTTCAAAGTTCATAGCGCCACCGGAACACCATGCATGCAAGGGAGAAGGTTTGTCGGACATCAACGATCAATCATGCCATACTCCTATGACTACCGGCGGCCGAGCCGATCCAACGTTCTGGCGCCGCATGTACACGGTAATATCCACGAAGGTCATCCGGCTGAAACCAGCATTTTTCTAGGCGCCGAACGGGCTCGGCGTGGTCTGAGGCGGTTTGAATCGGCGAGGATGCATGCTGGATGCCCGACTTGGCGCTGGCGCTCGACTCCCGGAGACCGACGTCACTGATTTCCTCGGAGCGTTGACAGCAGCGCCGATCTCAACCTTGAATCGCCGGTTTTCCTCAGCTTGTTTCTTCGTGCTCTATGTCGTCAACGAGAGAAGTTACGGAGGAAGCTTCGTCGTTCTGTTTGGTTGAGTGCTGCAAGATGAAAACACTGACTCACCAGAGCCGCCTGAGCTCCATGCATACACCCTTACAATAGATAGCATTCCTAGATGAACACTGTCTCTATCGCCCAACCTTGGATACTCGTCCGACTACCGACGACTCGTTTTGACACGTTTTTTGCACAAATCGCGGCCATTAGCTCTCCAGTACATTTTCGCCGTGCCGCCAAGCATGTCAGGTTCGGTCTACATCTTTCCTATCGTTGCTGCTATGCGAATCTGCAAAGGAGAATTGCAGGCTGGACCGGAGGTGCTGTATAAATCTTGGCTTCCATGTCGTTGGACGGACAACTTTCGTTCTTTTCTGGAAGTCGGGTTGAGGCTTTGAGCAAACTCGAGCTTTGGACTTTCGGCCCCTGATGGATCAAACTTCTGATACTGAGGATGAAAAAACAACACAAAACTGGAAATGCGAAGGGGTAGCTCGCCCCTTACGTTACGACCTTGACGAGATGAACTATCGACTTGACTCCGGACACCTTGAGTACTTTCGCTGCGCCGTCTGACCTGCTGCTTACTCTGCCGAGCGGGCATCGCCTGGCGCATTCTCTAGGCCAGCAGATGGCGTTCGCATATGCCATGTCTGACCATTGTTATACCCAACAACATCAGCGTGACTAGGTCCGAGCATTATTGTACGCTTCTCCCGAATAGCAGCCATGAGCCGCTCCTTGTTAATCATTACTCTCGAATTCCAGCAGCGCTTTCTTCCAGTTCGGAAGGTCCGTATCATCATTAGCACCATCCGCGTCCTGCTTCGCTTGCGGCGGTGGAGGAATAAGGCCATCTGGAGCTTGCTGGGGTTACTCATGGGTACCGTCATCATCATCGCCATCACCATTGTCCTCGGCCTTATTCCAGATCACGCCCTCGCCCACTCCCGTCGCTCGTTCGTTGCCGCGTGCAGTTAGGCGAGGATAACTGCCTCTGGTGGCCGCACTGGATAGCGAGAGTCCATGGAGCTGAGCTGTCACTCTCGCCTCACCTGAATCAGATGCCCTATCCGATGGACCCCCGAGGCGCTCCGCGCAGTTCACATCCTCGTTGCCCGGGTCGGTTCGAGATTTTTCATCGCCAGCACTTGAGTGTGGCCCTAGGAGCAGTGCGGGAGCGGGAGTCGGGAGGTTAGCCGCGGGTGGTTTTTTGGCTTTGCTGCGGCGGCGCGGTTTGGGGCCCATCGCTGAGGTCTTTTCTGGTTTCGACTTAGGGTGCGAGTCGGCTACGTTGACGTTGAGTTGTTCGGAGAAAGAAGAAGAGAAAAGGAGTGAATACGGGAGGAAGCTCAATAATCAAGCATTGTACGACTGTACGACTCGACATGTGGTGAAAGTGTCAGGGACAGCGTTAATGCATGTCCTTCTCCTGATGTCGAGTCAGTCTCGTCAGCAAACATCATTGGCCAGTCGTCCGGATCTCTCTAAGGGTCGGGATCCTGCCACTAATACCTTGCCCGCAGTTCGGGTCTTTGTGTCGGGTTGGACGCGACGGGCTGCCTTCTGAGATTCTAGCAGAAGCGCCTTAGCCCTGTGAGATGGCCAGGGCAACAAGCTGGAAGGATTTGTCCTACAGCGACGGCATCGATGTTTGGAATCTTGGGTATCTTTAGAGATTTTCAAACCAACACCTAACCCGTGAGTCTGATCACCATATGTTCACCCCGACACAATGTATTCTTCCAAACATGAAAGCCATTCCAAAAGCAAGCACCCTCCTACCCCGCGAGAACGCTAGGCTGCGCACATTACTTCTATCACGATGCCCCTCGAGCTCCTGCTCCGTCTGTGGGTTCCATATCATAACTCTACCATAATTGCATCCAGGCGCGATGAGCGTACCATCCTGCGTAAACTCCACGCAATACAACACGGTGCCCGAGCGGGTCTGAAGACCATGACAAACTCGTATCTGATTGATTCTCCGCCATAGTACAGCAGCCAACATTGTCCCATTCACCCAGGACCCGCACGGTCAAGATTATATGATCAACCACTCCGCGTCGCTACTTCCGACTTGCACCAAAGGCCCTTTGGGGGTCCTGTTCCCTTCCCTTGGCCAGACTAACGCCACACGCATACCGGATCACCTTGATGCTTTCCATTTTTGCAAGCCCCGGCTCCAGTGGCTGGACAATACCCATGCAACCCTCGCATTTTCGGCTGGCTCTGCGCAGGGGATCCTCCATCAGGATGGTACACACAGCTTCTGGGTCCCAGCAAAGCTTATTGGCCGTTCGAATAACAATATCTATAACCACGTGTTCATGGCCGAGCTTGGTTGAGTTATAAGCTCTCCGCGCCTTGAACGTGACCGTAGCCTTGTCGGAACTCGGAACGACATAGCGCAGGACGAAAGCAGAATATCGCACTGGAAGCTCGGAATAGGAACCGACTTTTCGAATATCCGAGCGCTGCGCAGAGGCCATCACAGAGTGTATATTCGTCGTCCGAGACGCAAGCAGGGACATTGGCGCCCAGCGCACTCCATCATGCCTCAGCTTGGGGTAATCGTTGAAAATAATTGTGGTGTTAAACTTGCCCAGCTCGCGGACAAAGGTCTCCATCCGCCGCTGCACCATCCTCCGGGTTGTCTTTATTTTCGATATCTAGGCAGACTTTCCAAGCCGAGTATCGTACTAAGGCATAGCGTTTCGCCGCTGTCGTGGGTGGTTGCGCGGGGGCTGAGCGCATCACAGAGTGGGACGTAGAGCATCGCGGACATATCCTTGCCCTCTTCCCCGCGCTTAATGAGCCCGACCCCGGTTGTAAGTGGAGGGTGCTGCCTTGCAGTCATCCCTTGACCCCAGCCTACGGCCTCTTGCTGATGGACTTCGAAGGGGCTGCTGGAGAGATATGCAAGCAGTTGCTCCGGCATACCAATATCGCGAACTAATCGATAACACGCAGCGGTAGCTCATCCTGGGTTGGACCAGAGGATTTGTCTTGTCAATCTGCAGGAGATTTTATTTTCATGCTTGATTATCGAATCTCAGACTCAAGCTCGGGCCGCTGCCTCCCCGTATCAGGCACTCGTACCCAAAATCAGAAGTACCCAAATCTTCCCGTTTGTCCCAAGCGCGCGGGGGAGTATACAAATTCCAGCTCATTTCTGCGCTGTGTTTCATCCGCCTCTTCATCCGCCGCTGCGTCCCGTGCTGTTGGCATCTGCTCCACTGCTGCAGCGCTCAGTTCTTTTAGAACCAGGGATACAAATAGAGCGGCCGAGCCCACTGCGTACAGCCTCCACCTGTCATCGATGGGATGTGAGTCCGCGTAGTCAGCAATCCCTTGAACAATCACACAAGGGTACTTGCCCTGTGCTATCCCAGGTTCGGTAGCGAAGCAGATGGCTTGCGTTGTCTGATGTATATGGTCACGCAGCATAGCATCCATCAGGCGAGGCCCGGCAGCGATGCCACCATAATGTAGGCGCGGTGGCCGGTTTTCTCGTTGAATAAGCTTTTCTGGGCCACACCTCGTGCAGTCTGCACCTCTCACATGGGTGTAACCCGGCTGGAAGACTCTATCGTCTGAGTCCAGCGGTTTTGCATATCTTCCCCGCGGGAGAAAAAATTCAGGTGGCGCCTCCGCGGCATCTAACACCTCATTGCGCTTTAGGAAGTCGATTAGCTCCCTCAATACAGTCGACGGAACCTTTGATTCATTTCCCTGGTGTATCATATTTCTTCCTCTCACCTGCTCCCACCACCATGTGGAACCATTCTGGACAACAACGTCTCCGAGCCTTACAGATTGTGGCGCACCCCCGGCCGTCGAAACCAAGAAAGCGAATCTGATACATGGGAAGGATGAAACCATGAGCTCGACGCCAGCGCCCTCTGCTAGTTGGGCAGGTGATAAACAGAGGATAGCCACAGGATGTTCGCCAAACCGTAATCTGTGAAATACGACGTCGGACTCATCAAATGCAGCAGGTTGGAAAATCGAAGTTAATGAAACCAGTGCGTTGAGCACGTCAGCATCTGTACATATAATACCAACCCTAAAGGCAGACTCAGTCCCAGCATCTGAACGGGATTCCAAGCATTTCATCTCTTCCGGCAGTGGTATTGGCTCGCCCGCGTCTAGCCCTGAGTCCGCTCCGGACAGCGAGTGAACTGGTGACTCAGCTCTGGCCACATTATCATCATGTTCGTCAAAGTCACCGTCTCTAGAGTCATCGAGTACGATATTAGCTTTTTGTGAGTCGCCCTCGCCATCGTCGTCCTCTGTGCGAACAGACCGTGGGAGTGAGAACAGGGCCATCCGCTCCAGATGTAAAGCAATATGATTTTGTAATTCGGTGGCCGTGAGGAGCGATAAGGAACAGACTGGACAGGGTCTGTCGGGAATAATGGGAGGCGATACAATAGCAAGATTCGTAACCGTGCCTGATACACTGTTGCTAAATTCGCGATGTGCGTGTCTTAAGTGGCCCCGAAACTCCTCGGTCGTGTTATAGGTGAGGTCGGGATGCTCTGGACATCGAAATACTCCTTGATGGAATGAGACCTCGTGCTGGACCCAGTCCTGGCGCCGATCGTACAGTTGATCGCCCTGCCTGCAATCCTTGTAAGTGCATATATAAGGGCGTAGATCATGGAGGAGATGCGCTCTGTAACTCCGTCAGTGTTCCGGCTGTTACCACTTGCCTCCAAGTAACTTACCTCCATGCTTTCGGTTGTGAAAGCGCCCTCGGGCACATGATAAAGCAATAAGGACACTCGAAGAACTTTTCACTTGGTGACAAGTTTGGCGCAGAAGGGAAGTCAACGATTTCTTTTCCTGGCTTCCAAACTGAGGGAGCATATTCTGAGACGGTGACCTCAGTGCGGTTTTCGTGAATCGTCAGGTTCTGGATGTTGAGGTTGGTGGCGGTCGTGATGGTTGGGGCAGGAGCGACCCAGGGCCGGGGCTCCAAGATGTGACCTTCGGGATTGACACCTGCTTCGTCACCAACTCGAGTTTCTCTCTCCTCGGGATGAGACACAAATGCCTCTGTCGTGGCCTGAGAGTGTTGGTGTAGCTTCTCTTGGTGCCGTTTCCAGTAGGCAAACTGTTGTCGTCGACGAACATTAGCGCGAGCTATACGGCTTACCAGGAACGACTCGGCCTTGTTCTCGATTTGAGCTGCATGCTCTCTCAGTACCGTCCGAATCGGCTCCCACAAATTGTCGCCCTCGTTTCCTTCTTCTATACCCTCCGGTTCCGATGGCGAAACCTCGCCTTTTGCGCGCACCTTCTGGTATTCGAGAAAGAGCGAGCTGACATAGTCGTAGTCAAAATGCTCGAAGGTTTCAAGGAGATTGACACCGGTCTCGGGATCAGCTTTCTCATAACAAAGTGCTTTCGCAGAACCAAATCTCGATGACGGCGTACGTATCCAAGTCGCGAGCTTATACAGCCGGTCAATCGGGTCTTTGATGCCGTCCAAGAGCAAGTCAGTATCGGAATCGGTTTCCTCATGCAGGACTTCGACATTGGCGATGCCGGCCGGACTTTCCCGTTCTGTATCGATCGCGGCGTCGGTATCAGATCCATACTCAAGCACTGCCCGCGATGTTAGCATGCTTCATCGAACCAGGGTGACGCTACCTTCAGCTAATGACTCATTGAGGCTCATCAAAAACCTGAGCAGTGTACGACTTATACTCTCTGCCTCCCTGACTCGGTAATCCAGGGACCCGTGGCCGGAGACGAACAGGCCTAGGTTTACGGCCCAGAGTTCGAAGCGGTCGGCTTCAGCAGCAATTCGAGCGACTGGCAATGAGCCCCGCGATGCAACGGAGGTAGCCTTGCCTTTCGCCTTCGCGAACAGCGTCATGGTCTCGAGCCCTACTTGCGCTAGGCTCTGTCGATCCACTTCTTCTGTCTCTGTCATGGTTGTGACTTCGTTGTCAAACAGGAAGATGTCTGTATTTCAGCCGAGCTGACGTACTCCGTAGCTGGGAGCCTGGGAGACCCCGCTATACTTATACGGTACCGTATACGGTATTCGTGCGACCTGATGAAAGATCCAATCTGCTGCGAGCACATGAATCACCTGCAGACCCCGCCTTCAGCTTGTCGAGATTCAAGTCAGCAAGGTGCTTCATCATCGGACGCTTGACAGAATCTATCCCCTTACTCTCTCCCCTCTTGTATGGCTCGCCATGTCTGGAATAGAGGTCGCAGGCCTTTTACTTGGTGCTTTGCCGATCCTTTTCGCCGCCGTTGACTCCTCGAGGAGCACCATCGAAAGAGGAAGACTGTTTTTTCGGACACGGTCGTACGTCAAGAAGCTCGCAGACGCGCTGCTCCTTCAACAGCAGATCCTGGCTGAAACAACCAGGTCCCTTCTGCTTGCGAGCGGATGCAGCGATGTCCATCTTATGGAAAATGACCCAGCTGGGTATTTGAGCCAAGAGAGCATCCAAGACCAACTACGCGATTACCTAGGGCCTGAGAACACCAAGGCCCTCGATGCAACGCTGAGCATGAGCAATGAAGCCGTTCAGAAAATTGCCAGTTTTTTGTCAGGCGTAGTGCCTGGAGCCAAGGTGAACACTCTTAACTGTTTAGCTTCTCTTGGGACTCATTCAGTGAGCAGGGCTGTGCAGACCTCCATCAGATCATAACATCAAATCAAGGCGTGGACAGCCGGCGCCCAGACCTGATCCCCAGAGTGAAGCTCGTGTTCGGGGTGAGTGAGCTCAAAGCTACCATTCGCGATATCGACGATACAACAAATACCCTCACTCGCTTTTCGAACCTCGTTATATCGAATCGACGAGATGCGGGGGACTCCCCATCCAGGAAGGCTACCAAGCTGGCGAAAGTCCTTCGTCAGGTTCGCGGTTCTGCCAACGATCTTTATCACGCCATCCATCGCGGTCTTGGGGCTGGATGCCACAGTACACACGAGACACAATTGATGCTTGAGGATCGAATCGACACTTCAACCTCTGCTCGGGGCGTTTCCCAAGATATAACCTTTCGGCTTCTTTTCGCAGCCGACGCCGGTCATAGGCGCATTTGTCATGAAGCGATGGTGCAAGTGCTGAAGGGCGAATCCCGAGACGATGAACTATTTCCTGCCCGATCCTCGCAAGTCTCGCGCGTAACGCTTGTCGTTCCTGAGGCTACTCCAGGCCCAGCGATTACTCTGGTTCACAATCTATGTGCTGCTATCAACACTGCTGGATGTATGGAGCCGCATGTCACCTTTGTGTTAAGCAACGGCGCTCAATTTGGAACAATCGCTGCGGTCAAGAAAACGGTCATCCCGTGTCTGACATCCGATCTTGTCAGTCTAAAGGCTCTTTTACTCCGTGATCAACAGGGCAATCCACATACCACAGCCCTTCCCCTGAAACACCGCATGCTCCTTGCGCTCAAACTTGCATCAAACCTCCTCCAGCTTTTGCAGACCCAGTGGCTACCCAAGACCTGGTCGAAAGATATGATCCTGTTTCTCCGACCGCAGCAGCGAATTGATTGCACCCGGCCTTTCATATCGCTCACCCTTGACAACGAGCCGATTCGCACCTTTGCAGAGGTAGAACCGAAGCTCGCCCTCCTTGATCTTGGTATCTTGCTTCTGGAGATTTGGCACAATCAAAGTCTCGAGTTTCATTTCTGCTTGGCGGACACTCCAGTTGGATATTATGAGCGATTGACCTGGGCCTTGAAGTGGTTGGAAGATGGCGACGATCCGTTACCCGAATTGTATGACAAGGCGGTCTCATATTGTATAGTTGGCGTTCTCAACTCCGAAGTGCGTACTCGAGGATGGGAAGATCCGAAATTTGGTGACGCTGTTTGTGCAAATGTCGTAGAGCCTCTGTCACAGAGTTGTAAGCAGTGGCGGTGATATATATTTCCGGCGGTTGTGTTAACGGCTCCAGTTTGCCTGCCCACGAGGCCACGACCCTCGAGTCTTCGTTATCCATGAAATCTTGATGATCTCGACCCACCTAGGGTTCCTTCTCTTCGTAAATGATGCCAGTCCATTTCGTTGAAGACAGTAGGTCCGATGATCGGACGAACTGGTGAGGTCGGGGTGAGTCACTCCGGGCGGGTCTGAAAGGTTCTTGATCTTATCTGATCCTCAACTGAAAAATGTCCCCGCTCCAGCTCCAATCTCCCAACAGCTCCCACTTTTCTTTTGCAACTCAACTTTGCGCCATTGAGTCCCAGAAACTGCGGCTTGTTGCTCGAGTCTCTGGGAAAGACTTCAGGAGGCATGTCAATTCCACTCTAGGTCTGCCGTACGCCGAATCCCTTTGCTTTTTCCGTGAACAGTCGTTTTGAGCGGGGTTCCTGAGCTCCGCTCCGCTCTCACCAAGATCCCACCCATTTCCCATCGTCCTTCAAAGGTCTCCCAGTCTCCAGCATTGTTAGCGTTCACTCCTTTGAAGCAATCGAACACATTTTTTTCCGCTTGAAAGCCGCACCCAGCCTCCCAATCGCCGGCGCGGCGTCCCCTCTCCGATCGATCGGAAGGTCTTCCGCACGATTCCCGCGTCAATCCTCCAATTCCCCCTCGTATCGCAGAGATCACGATCATGTCCCTTCTACAATCTCCCGAGGAGCCAACAAAATTCCCCAGCCGAGAAGACGTCCAGGAACAGCCCCGCAACAGCTCCTCCCACGATGTCAGCCCGAGCGACCTTGAATCCGGCGACCATGACATCGCTCAGATCGAGCGCATCTACCGGTACGGTCTCTGTTCTCCTGATAAGGCATCGCTAATAGTTGTCTTGACATAGCAAAATAGACTTCCGCATCATCCCCGCCTTTTGGGTCCTCTACTTTCTCTGCTCCGCCATCCGATCAAACGTCGGTCTCGCCCAGACAATGAACGCCGAATCCGGTCACGACCTCGGCTCCGTCCTCCACGCTACACCGCACCAGATCTCAACCGGTCTTGCCCTGTTCTACGTCTGCTACGTCGTCTTTGACCTCCCATCGAACCTGATAATGACAAAGCTGAGCCCGCATGTATGGATGAGTCGGATTGTGATCGGCGTGGGCATAATTGGGAGTTGTATGGCTGCTATGAAGGCTGCGTGGAGTTTATATCTCCTTCGTCTGCTTCTCGGTGTTGTCATTGCGGGTATGTGGCCTGGGATGGCGTACTACCTTACGCTCTTCTACCCGCCTTCGCGCACGGGAAAACGCATCGGGCAGTACTACACCGCGGCGCAGCTCTCCGCTGCGGTGGTCGGTCTTGTCTCGGCTGGATTCCAGGAGATGGATGGCGCTCGCGGACTCGTCGGGTTTCAATGGATGTTTCTCGTCTACGGTGTAATTACCGTTGCCGTCGGCATCGGCTTGCTTTGGTGGCTACCTGACCGTCCCGTTCCTCCGGGAGAAGAGCCCCCAAAGCGCAGCAAATGGTTTCAATGGCTGCCGAAGAGTGCGCCTGTTCTGACAGGCAAAGACGCGGAGCTACACTACCGCGATCTAACGAGGGTGTATAAACGGCCCCGATGGACACTCCGCCACCTGCTCCAGGTTCTGCTCGATTGGCGGCTGTGGCCGCTCCTGCTCATGTACTTCGGTGTCGTGGGCGTCGGTATTGGCGTGCAGAACTACGCCACAGTGATCATCAAGGGCATCAACCCGGATCTATCGGGCATTGATCTGAGTCTTCTGACGGCTCCGATCTGGATTGTATGTCTTTTCCACTCACCCTCACCTCATTCATCTCTAACAAGGCACAGTGCGACCTCATCGCCATCCTCCTCGTCACCCCGATCTCCGACCGCTTCCACCACCATCGCGCCCTCTTCTTCAGCTTTGCCGCGCTCATACAAATTCTCGGACTTCTTCTAACAACCTACGCCGGCACCGAGTCCAACCCCTGGCCTCGCTACGGCGGCCTCCTAATCGTCGGCTTCGGACTCGGCCCAACGGTACCGATAACAATGACCTGGACGACAGAGATCTTCCAGCCGCGGCACGGCGAGGTAGGCGTTGCAGCTGCGAGCGCCGTTGTCTCGGGGTGGGGGAACCTCGGTTCCATTATGACGACGTATGCGCTTTATAATGGGTGGAGCGCTGATGCGAATGCGCCTGGGCGCGAGAAGTACCGGAAGAGTAATCTGGTTATGGTGGGGATACTGGGGTTGAGTATTTTGTCTGCGTTGGTTATGTATGTGCTTGTGAGGGTGGTTGATGGAGGGAAGAAGGGGGATGCTGAGGGGGAGTTGGATGGGGCGGCGAGGAGGGAGGGGAGACAGAGGGGGTTCGATGGGTTTGGTAATGGTTTCAAAGGGTTGTTTAGGAAGCGTGAGCTTCAAGGTGAAAGGGCGTAATGAATAGACTACGGATAGAGAGATAGATAGACGCTAGATGTAGACATCGAGCCAAAGGCAAATTATTCAAGTTATGCATTATGCAGCTTGATGCATAGCAGAACTGTTTGTTCTGAATGCAAATGTGATGCCTGAGGCACTAAGGCAGCGAGTGGTCCCTGCAGGGAAGGAACGGGTCTGGTCTCACCCTCACTCTTTTTCTCAGCCAGACAAAACATTGCCTTGATCTCGCGATTCCATTCTGCTTTTGAGACTAATCCCACTACTCTTGTTCGACGTTTCCAAGTGATTTCAAAGCAGACGGGTACTCAAGCCACTGGCCAGGCGAGTCCGGACCAGTCTGCAGTGGCTCCAGAAACCCCACACAACGTCAACAACGCGACCCTGACACGATGACCATCCACCCCAGCCTCAATCGCCACCCATGCTCTCCACTCTCCCTGCTGAGATTCTCCTCCTCATTGCAGGCTACCTAACACGCCGCAGTGATATCCTCAGCATCGCTTCATGCTCTCGTCGCTGCCACGCATTGCTTTACCCGCAAGTCCTCACAGGTCTCCATTACCATAAGAGATTCATCAAGCGTCAACTATATCGCCTCATCCGCTTAGTTACTCAGAATCCTCGCCTTGCCAAAGCGGTCCGTGTTCTGCGTCCCACGGAAAGGAATGGTTTCGAACCCTTTTATGACATCCAATATGATCGCGACACAATCCGATCATTACTTAAAGCGGCTGCATCTGCATCTGCCATCGAAGAGAGCGAAGTCCTAGCATGGGAGATGAAGCTGCGGAACATTAACGGAGTAGGGATGGGACTTGGCCCGTGGTTCGCGCTACTACTGTCGCTCCTCCCAAACCTGAAGGAGCTGGCTCTGAGCGTCGAACGCCCTTGGTGCGAAGACACGCACAGAATTTTACGCAAAGCCATTGAGAATCCAGGTTCTCATATATTCTCCCGGTTGGAAAAGCTCAGGCTCGATATTGATTTCTCCTATGCGGAGCGCGCGGACGGTCTTGAGCTTCATTCAACGTACATATTGCCCTTTTTGCGCCTGCCGCGTTTGCTTTTTTTTATAGGGGAGGTGGTCCGTAACAGAACTGAAGGATAGGGCATCAACGTTCATGATGAGGCTTTTGTTGAACCGGATGACAACCACAACCACGAAAAAGGAAATGGCCAAGACAAAGGAGCTAGATGCGTAGCAGAGCCTCGCAGTTTCTCCAATGTCACACACCTGCACTTTGAGCTTAGCAATTGCCCCCAGGGCCTTTCCGATCTAATTGGACCATGCAAGAGGCTGGAGTCGTTTACGTACCAGTATATGGATACCATACATAATACACCCAAGGATGTCATCAACCCATCATCCTTCTACGAACCGTTATACAAACATAGGGAGAGCATAGAGGAAATCGCGGTACACTACTACGAATGGGTGAATGGTAACACTAACTTTGGTCATACCTTTGATCTGAGATTCGTGGGTTCATTCGTCGACTTTCCTGTCCTGAAAAAATTACGCATGACCGGCTACAACATCTTGGACTGGGTTGATCCGTGGACGCCTGGAAATGGCGCAAGAAATACCCTGCTGGATGTGCTCCCGCGCTCTCTGGAGGCCCTCACTATCGAAGGATACGACCGTTGCGACTATGAATATTTCACCGCAGAACTGGAAAAGCTCGTCCGGGACGCCGAAACCCACTGGCCAAACCTAGCTGTACTACAAATCCAGGAATACTTTCAGTATGAGGGCAACCACAGGCTGCCGGAGGGTCGTGGACCTTATGAGATGACAAGAACTTGGCTGCCCTGTGCCGCAGCAAGGGCATTCGTTTCTAGCATTGGTATCCTTTTGATGAAGGAACCGGCAGCCGGAAACACCTGCATGACAGTCAGCTATTTCTCCATGGAGAGGACGTCAGCGAGTTGGAAGTTACGGGCGATTTTGTGGGAGCTTGCTGCAGGCAATGGGAGCTAGGGAGTACGGGCGCTATTGGGCCGAGAACGCCATCGTCGTGACCAGGGCCTGCCATCGACGTTATGTCATGATTATGGCACTTGGGAACGGATCATCGCATCCGAGACCTTCCACCACCGGACAACCACTGCTGCATCTCTGGACCACTGTTTTCCATCTATCATGATAGCTTCCTGGCGGAGAGCCCAGATGTCCACCCAGGACCAGCACATCGCCAGGTCCTTGGTTTCTTCTCCTCTAATCCACCTGCACCTCCACTCCGCTTCCAATACGCCTGGCCGTCTTTGTCTCTTGCAACCCTATGAGTCGCGGTGCGTTGCCTACGGTCATTACGCGCCGTTGGTCGAGATAGATCCGTCTCCTATAATGTATAGGCATTCCTTCTGAATAATACAGCAAATTGACTTTCCTTTTATATCCGCCAACGCGAACCAAACCACATTGAATCTTCTCCATTCGAAGCTCAATTTGTGATACGGGCGGCAAGACCACCTGGCACCTGCACTTGACCAATGCTTCCCACGTGCGCGCACGGTTGATTCCACCGTATTGATATCCAGCTGCTTTTCGCTAGCGAGGGTATTCTCATGCAATTTAAACTTCCCAATGATCACCCGGCTTCATACCTTAGCTCACGGAAAGCTTGGGCGGCACACAAAGTAAGGGGCAAGAGCTGACTGCCTTATTAAGACCCAAAGAGTTCGAAAATTGCTTCCATGGTCCTCGGATAGCTCGTACCACGGAATGGCTCTAGATCGCCGGGCGATCAAAAACATGGTACTTGCCCTTATCAAGTACTGAATCATACATCCATGCTGATGCCGAATTCTGTGCGAGATACGGACGATCAGGCTCGGCAGAGGGACCGGGCCCAGAATTGGCCTTGGCAATCGCTATTCAAGAACAAACTCTATCTACTGGCGAGCTAACGCGGGGCGCTGGCTAATTTGTTGGATCCTGCAGATCAGGGCCATGACTAGTGACGGCCCTCCCCTGTGCCTGGATTCCACCCCAAGGTTCTCGCTCAGCCCGATTGCTTTGTTTACTCCCGTGTGTACTGTGAGCAGCCCAAGCTGTGTACTAGTCTTTTTCGCCATCACATCTTTAAGCATCCTGATTGCACAAGTATTCTGCCCAAGAACCTCATGAACGCTTCCCTGAAAGAGCTACTAATGGCAAGCTACGACAGATGTGCTTCAATTTTGGAACCTCGCTTTATTGAGCCAAGCAAATATATCCAAAGCTTATACGGCGCAATGTCAAGGCAATTACCGTATTCAGTAAGAGGTGCAATTACCCAGACGAATTGGGAATCTGCGGTCGTCTTCCCGAGTGATTAAGGGCCATGAAACTGGCCCTGGCTCCACTTGCACTTGCACGGACTCCTTCATGCCTCCCGCAATCTTAAACCACGAACAGCTTAATATTTATCTGATGGAATCCCAAGATCAATTGCATCCTGGTTCCACCAAGCATAAGCTTCGGAATACATACGCAGGATGGAGGCGCTGCAGGACTGCGCGGTATGTGACTACCTACTCAACTCAACCCTTAGTAGCCCTAACTAACCGGCCACCGACGTATAGATCGTCTGCTTCGCCCAAGCCCTCCCCGCATCGAACTGCTCCGTCACCGATATCGACTGTCTATGCTCCGATGACAAGCTAATCGCCGATACAAGATCATGCAGTCTCGACGCGTGTACAATCAAAGAGAGCTTATGTACGTCCGATCCTCTCTGTACAATAGCGGGACTCGACTGATTGGTGGCAAACAGTATCCCAAAAGGCTCTAACTACTGTATGTGGCTGGCCGGTTACGGAAGACAAACGCGTCTTCCCTGTCATTCTCATCCTGGGCATGGTCCTCGCGGTGATTGCGGTGGGCATGCGCGTTGCTGTGCGAGTGCGCACTAAGACCCTTGGGCTTGATGAGCTCATGGCTGTGTTGTCGGTGGTACGTCGCGACTGTCTTAGTGAGCATGGGGATTGAATGCTAACGGAAGGCATCATCATTTAGGCCGCGATTGTTGCGCTGTCGGGCTTGGGTATTGAAAGTCAGTGGCCCTGAGTTCAAATCCAGGTAAGTTGACATGACCGAGTACATATGCTAACACCAGGGCAGACCAAAAGCTGGGACTAGGCATCGACACATGGTTCCTTTCGTTCCAGGAGATCACGGATTTTTTGCACGTACGTCCTCCTTGTTTCATCTTCCAGCGCCTTGCCTGACAATCATTGTATCTGCCATAGATCTACTTCGCCATCGAATCCCTCTACCTCGCCTCAATCGCCCTAACGAAAATCTCCATGCTCCTGCTCTACCTGCGCCTCTTCCCCGCTCGCCCAATCCAACTCGCCACGAAAATTACTTTACTACTAACAACCGCCTGGGGAATCGCCATGCTCCTGGCAAATGTCTTCGCATGTCAACCGATAAACTACATGTGGCTAAGATGGGACGAAGAGCACGAGGGCAAGTGCATTGACCATGAAGCGGTCATGGCGATCCACGCAATATTGAATATTGTTTTCGACGTGCTGATTATTACCCTCCCCATGCCGACGCTGCTTAAGTTGAATATGTCGGTGAGGAAGAAAGTGGGCGTTATTTTTATGTTTGCTGTGGGATTAGTGTATGTCCACCTTGTCCTTCCGTACCCCCTTTGCAGTTTTGATCTCGACCGTTGGGTGGGCACCGCTGACCTTGAGCTTGATTTGATGCGGCAGGGTGACCTTAATCTCAATCTTCCGCTGCATCTCACTAATCCGCTTCGACATCTTCGATAATCCAACAAGTCCGTCCTTCTTTCCACCCACCACCAAATCACATACTAACCTCCCCAGAAAACATCGTCACAATCTCCATCTGGTCCGTCGTCGAAGTCGACCTCTCCCTAATCTGCGCCTGCATGCCCAGCATCCGCGCCTTCATCTCCTACATCCACGCCCTCATCTACGGCACCCCCTCAAGCCAGTCATACGGATACGGGTACGGGTACAGTTCTGGTCCCCGTGGCGGGCCATCAGGGACCGGGAAGCTTGTGCCGGCGCCGTCGGCGGTCCGCTCGGGGACGTTCGACACGGATGAGGAGTTTGATGCGGGGGCTTGGAAGGGCGGGAAGTTCATTGCGTTGCAGGAGACGGAGTGTTGGAGTCCGGCGGAGAGTAGAAGTGGGGGGAAAGCAGAGGGGAGGAGGCCTGGCCCTGGACCGGGGCCGGGGCCCGGGGAGGTGCTTGTTACGAGTCGGATTGAGAGGGAGGTTGAGTAACCTGAACTGATCAGGTACCTTATCATGCTAAGGGTCGACCTAAGGCTCAATGCACATGGTTTGGCCCTGAAGGGGTGTTAGATGGGCCTGGGATGGTTGAATCTGCAAGCAACGGTTGTACGATATACTTCATTCTTTTCATCTCGAGCGATATTTCCTATCTTTCTTATATGTACAATACTTTGACTCACATATCAAGCTTATGGAGATTGATATTATGAACCTTCGAAGTTGATGATAATGTTATAGTATCCAATGTCCTATGCCCAGGTGAGTCCAGTCTGACTTCATTTAGGGCTAGTGAGAGAGTTGCCAGGATGGGCTCATGAATACATACGCGATGTATCCGCAACATTATCCTTAAACCCTCTTATATTACGATCTGTTATTATTCCTCGTGATGCAAAGGGAACTGAGCGGTTCTAAGGTCATCGTTGGTCAGTGGACGATCAAGCGAGCCATGGCCATTCATACGCACCAGACAAGAAGTGCTAGCCCTCATTCGGTTTTGTCTCAGACCCAAAGCAAGGTCGGGCACCTATAGCTCCAGAGCTAATCGGCTTGATGTCTTCTACCAATGGAATTCAGAAGTCTAATATGCCATTGTCCATGCCTATTGGCTGCCCACCCACCATGCGAGCTCGGGGGCCGAGATCTGGAACAAAGAAAGCATCCTTTAGAGCATGGATTACGGTCTCGTATCATACAGGGATGTCTTCAAATCTTCGCTTTAAGACCTCCTCGTATACCCTACACCAATTCCCCGCCCCTTCTGCGCCGACATAAATCCCGAGCATGGCCGGATATTGCCCGCAATTCTTTAAACTCAACTCAACTCATTCTCGCCATGGCAGACCCAACCCCAGCTGAACCCGAGCAGCCCACCACCCGGCCAAAAGAATGCTGGCTGGTAGGAGGCGGGATGTCCATCCTCGCCGCAGCCGTGCACCTCATCCAAGAAGCGAATATCCCAGGAACCCACATCCACATCGCCGAACTGCACCCCCACTCCGGCCACGAAGACACAAACTACGGCGATGCCACGAACGGCTACACCATCCACGCGGGGCTCCAGCCGTCCTTCTACGAGCCGTGCACGCAGCACTTCCTCTCCCTGGTCCCGCACCCCGCGGAGCCCGGAAAGACACTGCTGGATGTGGTGGAAGCGAAGCGGAAGGAGATGCTGAGCGGGATGCAGCAGACCGAGGCCGGGGCCGGGGCCTGGACACGCCTCGTTGCACAGACGGACTCTGGGCCCGGCAGGGTCGACGCAAAGAAGATGAATCTACGGCTTAAGGACCGCCTGGACCTTCTCTCGTTTATGCTGCAGAGTGAGGAGAGTCTCGGTGAGCGGAGTATACGGCAGTGCTTTGATTTTCAGTTCTTTGACTCGACGTTTTGGGTGCTTTGGTCTACGTCGTGAGTGCACTCATCGGTACCTTACCTGCAGGTGTCATGCAGGTGGACTAATCATGATATCGCTGTAGGTTCGCAATCCAACCCCAGCATAGCGCAGTTGAATTCCAGCGCCATCTGTCCAAGTATCTCGATAAGCTCGAGCAGTTGAGTGGCCCGCAAGTCATGGGCCACATGCAGTACATGTTCCGCGACCTCCTGATCACCCCAACCATCGAGTATCTGAAAAAGCGCGGTGTATCCTTTGCGATGTACCGAGACGCCGAGATCCTCTTCACCGATTCGCCAGACCCAGGCGCCCGCCCAGCCGCATCCCAAATCAACCTGATCACCGACCGCGAGGACCTCGTCACAATCTCCATAGACCCCAACGACATCGTAATCGCAAGTCTCGGCCCAGCATCCTCCCCCTCCGCCCTGGGCTCCCACACCAAGTCCGTAGCACACGAGCTCTACGTCGCAGACCCCGAGATCGGCGACTCCTGGGCCCTATGGGACCACCTCGTGGCCGAAAGCCGGCAGCACCCGCGCCAGCTGCCGCAGCTACACTTCGGCAACCCGTCGAACTTCAAGTCGCGCTTCTCCGAAGCAAAGCTCGTCACCTTCACCATCACCCTGCGCAGCCCCGCCTTCATCGACCTGTACACCCGCCTCACAGGCAACGAGCCCGGCGCCGGCGCCTTCACCACAATCGCCGACTGCGCCTGGCACCTGACCATCAACGTCCCCAAGCAACCTGTCTTCCCGGACCAGCCGAAGGATGTCCAGGTAGTCTGGGGCTACGGCATGACGCCCGAGCGGAATGGCGAGTTCATCGCCAAGCCGATGTACGAGTGCAGCGGCGAGGAGATCCTGCTTGAGCTCGTAGCGCACCTGGGTTTCCCGACGCACCCGATCGTCTCGACGTCGACGGTCATCCCCTGCATCATGCCGTATGCCACGTCCGGGATGCTAACGCGGGGACCCGGGGATCGCCCGCCTGTGGTCAACGGGGTGTCGAATCTCGCGGTCGTAGGCCAGTTCGTGGATATCCCGGGCGATACGAGCTTCAGTATGGATTATAATATCCACGGGGCGCAGATTGCGGTTTATGAGCTGTGCGCGTTGGAGAGGGAGCCTGCGGCGCCGACCAGGAGTTTCTTTATGAAGACGTTTGATCTGTTGAAGTAGGGCTGGCATTTTGCATGCAGGTGTTGGGGTTGCTGTGCTTCTACTAGGGTATCTACAATCCTCTCTTTTCGTCGGGCCGCAGATTGAAAGTTAGGCCCTCTCCTCTTGTGACAATGGTTGGCATCTTTGGAGGTTTCAGCGGCTCTGATGGAGGTTGCTTCTTTGCGGCAGTAGTACCTACCGGTAATGATGTTTGCGTATCCATCAGCAGCGGAACTTGAGTAAAGAATGGATGGTCCTCCTATAGCACTCATCATCAAGGAACGATTTGCGGCGAGCCATTCAGGTGAGGAATCGACACCGGGGTTATTTATGACAGCCTGGCTTTGATTGCCGTTTGCGACCTCAAGGTTAGATCTCACATGCTCCAAGGCTATTACCACACCTGCCCCTTGAAAGTTGCCCATGTGCTGCCCGGCCCAGGTCAAGGTAGAACTAACCTCCCGGCTGTAATAATGAGGCGGGGTGATCCATAATCCATGATATCCTCAAGTTAGTCCCTGTCCCTGACCACCCTATCGAACGGACAAATCCCAACACCACCCCGAGGCTCATAGCCATTCTGCTCTATTTTCAGTACATCAATCTACTGTTTCACCGCAGGCCCAAACTGCAACCCCAGATTGATGGCCTTGGGGTCAGTTAGCTACAGTTATAGTGAACTATATCCCACAACCCCGCTGAATACCTCACTCGGGGAAAGCGCCGGAGGATGATGGGAATGGACGGGTGCGTTTGAAGTCTTGCTGTAGTTGGCCATGGCCAGTCTTTTGTGTTGGGTTACACCGAGTAGGACCGGGGTATGCCCAGCTGCCTGCCTACATATGGTACATATCAAGACATCGTATGGTACTAATCTTCGTCATGAACTCACCCCAGCGGCCGTCCGTACTTATTCTCTGTACGTATAGATAGATCTTACGGTGGTTTGCATATCCGCAGCATACAAGTGTAACAATCATGATATCCCATGACCGGTTCGACATCTTGCCTAGTGCCTCCCGGAGTCTTAACGGCGTTCCGAGTGGTTGAACCATGCAAGAGATTGTTTTGGATCGGACATTTACCCCGCGCGGGCCATCTGACATGATACATCGAACCGTAGATCAACAGCTCAGCTGCTCGGCTACATGCCATTCTGATACGATTCTGCGACGCCACTGTCAGCGCCAAGGTGCTCGGCAATGGGCAGTTACAAGGAGCTGTTAAGCTGGGTTACCTAGTACCCTATTGGAAGAGAAAGAAAAACCCGGAATGGTGCCATTCTGCTCACATTTCCCAGCACAGGGATAGTAAAGAGTTGACAGGCAATATGCTTGCTGTCTTGCGTTAGGTAGGGTTGTCATGGTATCATGAAATGGTACCACACTTAGTCAAGCGATAATGGTCTGTATAACCGTTGCTGGCCGCCGTTTAGTCAGGGCTCGATCCCTAGATCTCACTCATCTTATTTGATTGGCTTGTATGTTTCTGCGCTTAATAACGTACCTTAGTCACCAGGTCTTCATCAAAATAACTTCCCTTTACTATCTCCAAAATCTGCATGTTCATTTGCTATTCCACACCCACATGAGGCAGGCATTCATCATCACCTGCAAAATCTTGTTGCAATGGAACAGGCTACAGATGATTGGCACTTTGCCGTCACGGCCGTACCTTTGATCGCCGTAGTACTGGCCCCTCTCGCCAACCTCATGTCCATCACGGCGTCCGTGACGCCATGGATAAATACAATTGACTCGAACAACATGGACGCAGATGGAGTTCCCGTGCAGATCGCTCTCAGCGACCCCAAGTGGTACTTCACCTTTATATTATTCTTATTCGGATCATGCACGGCTAAACGGACCAGGTGCATCGCCCTCAAGGCCACGGCGCTCTCATGCGGTGTGATCGGGAATGTCCTGCTGCTTTGCAGAGTCGCAGGCATGCTGCGATACAGCATTTCACTGCCTTTGGTGCTCTGTTCCAGTATTGTAGCGTGGGCTAGTGTAAGCCATCAGCTCCACGATCCATAACCCTACTAACGCGTCACAGCTAACCAGCGCACTAATCGCCACGCACATCACCCACCGTCCCCTCCCAGACAACCAGCTCTACGCCCCGTCCTTCTGGGCCGCAGTCATAGCAGCAGTGCTCTACTTCGTCCTTTCGCTCCTCGTTGCACTCCACATCCTAGCCTGCCATCTGGGCGCCCACCACCCGGCAACCGGGGCTCTGCCGCAAAAACAACGAGCACTAGTCCTGCAGGCGTTCGCATTCGTCATCTGGCTTGCGATCGGCGGCGTGGTGTTCTCGCAGTCCATCGAGATTTCCTACGCCGATGCGGTGTATTTTTCGACAGTGACGGTGCTGACGATCGGGCTGGGCGATATCACGCCCGGATCGGCGCTGGGGAGGGGGCTGGTCTTTCCGTATGCGGTTGTTGGGATTGTGCTTCTTGGTCTTGTGGTTGCTAGTGTCTATCAGCATGTTCGCGAGGTGCATGATCGGGAGGTTGTCAGACGGCAGGGGAGCCAGTTACGACGGGCGGCTCTGGAACGTCTGCAGAGGACAGGGGCAGTCGCACAGTGCCAGTCCGAGCGCACACGGCAACATCCGTTCAAAACCCGAAGTTGGGGACCGGCAAATCACCCAGCCTCGTCTGCCTCTGGATCAAAGACCGCGGCACAGTCCTCACTAGAGCTCCAGCTAGATATAGACGACGAGGCGCGCTTCAACGCCATGCGAACAGTGCAGCAAGAAGCAGTCTCATACCGACGCTGGACAGGCGCACTCTGGAGCATCCTGCTCTTCCTACTGATCTGGGTTCTCGGCGCCGTGGTGTTCTGGGCCGCGGAGAACAACAGCAACCCAAAAACCCTCACCTACTTCGAGACGTTGTACTTCGGCTTCGTCTCCCTGCTGACAATCGGGTACGGGGACATTGCGCCGGCCTCGAATGCGGGTCGCCAGTTCTTTATCGTGTGGGCTTTGCTCTCGGTCCCGACGATGACGACCCTTATTACGAGGATGAGTAGTAGTGCGCCGCATGTTTCTGTGAAAGTGAAGGCTCTTGTGGCCAGTGTATCAGCGCGGTTCCGTCGGCGCCGCGGTGGAGCCCTAACTCCATGGAAGGGGGTCTTTGGCTCTGCCGGAAACCGCATCAGTGCACCACGAATACGATTACCGCCGGAGGAATCGCGAGGGAAAGACGTCTGCGTTGAAGAAAACGGCGACAATTACCCGGAAGGCTCTAATTTCCCGTTCTCCCAACACCTAGCGACCGCAATATCGGAGACAATGAGCGATGCCCTAAACAGTCAACCGAGGCAATACAGCTACAACGAATGGGTGAAGTATAGGGGGCTTATTCGCGCGCTCAACCCCCATAAGGATGCAGGGGAGATCATTCCAATTCTCGAGGTCCTCGCCGAGGCTGAACCCAGCACCTCCAGTCCGGACGCGGACTGGGACTGGATCGGAGAAGACAGTCCACTGCTGGCAGACAAGACAGAGCCGCAGTGGGTTCATGAACAACTTTGCGAAGGTCTCCTTCTGCACACACCTAGAAATGCGGCTTTGGGATCCAGAACAAATGCCAGTCGGCCCCAGGGCTCAGATAATCCGTAAGTAAAGGAAAGACTATATATGTATAAAATATAGTTGCCCAAGAGCTTACTATCCAGACTTCCTTTGTAAGTAAATAATTCCTTGAAGAAGCTATAATCTACCCAAAGTTCAGCGGTTTCGGAGGTCATGGCTCTGCAGCTGACGGCACTGCAGGCTGTAAAAGGCAAGGAGGCCTGGAGAGATGTCTCTCGCCATGACAAGGAAAATGATAGTGCAACGGAGGGAAGTGCTGTAAAGTTGAGATAATCGAGGGACGAACTGATGAGATGGGTTTGAAAGGTTCCAAGGTTGGTGTTGAGCCGGCATTGACCCGACCTCGTCGGGACCGTAGGTAGGTACAAGAATAACACATCCTCATTGGGTAAAGGGCAGTCTGGAGGTGCCTAGGTAGGTAGCTGAGTCGAGTCCACTGTACAAAATACTCCGATTCTGCCCGGTGTATCCCTGTTTCCATCCTGATAAATCGCCGCCAGATAAACAGTCCAACCGCAGAAGCTATTGAGATAACGCCCCAGGAAAGCACAGTATGAGCATATTACACCAATTTCTTCTCGCTCTTTAGACATTCTTGCCACGCAATTGACGAGTGTGGTTAACCAACTCGTCCAGTATACCCGCAGAGACATCTTGCCCGATCACCAAATAGTCACTATCATTCTACAGGTTATAAGAGTCAGTTTCCAAGGTTGTCATGTCTTGCCCACTAGGGTTTGGCTTGGAGCTTACTTTATCCCACTCCCAATGAAGTTTATAGTGTGACAACGTTGTTGGAGAAATGTGTTTATGATGACACTAAAAATCATGAGAATCACAGCCAGCGGGGGGCCACAGGGTGTTTTTAACTATACCTTGTACCATAACTCATTATATAGGGTATCTTTGTCCATTTGTCCGTCCCATCTCATTGGTGCCCCGGGGCGTCTCTCTGCAGGTCCAATTATTGTGATGCGGTCATCAAAGGCCTCGCGGTCATCTGCAGTGCTGCTGGACAATTCAGTTGACCCTGCAGGTCCAGTTATTGTGATGCGGTCATCAAAGGCCTCGCGGTCATCTGCAGTGCTGCTGGGCAATTCGGTTGACCCTGTTAATTGCTTGCTTGGTTGGGGAGCCTCTCGACGGAGTCTGTCAATACTGCAAATACGAAATTTCACTTTGCCAGCCTTGCCCTTGCCCTTGTACACCGTCAGATCACGCGTTAATGTGACTAGCACGTCCTCTGTTAGCGGAAAGGCCGATGATCTTGCAGCTTTGGATATTGGCAACTGGAACTCACTGTTGACCTCATGTGCTAGATCAATGGTATCGCCGACTCGAAAGTCGAAGTGACCTATGTACTCATCGCCTTTCTTGTTCATGTTGTGGATCGATATGTCGACATTAGTATCTTTGTTTACCGCACTTAGAACAGTTAGTTAGTACAGATTATGTAGCGGACATAGAGTTACTTTACAAATCTGTATACTCGTTCCAGTGTCGGGGTGGGTTCAAGGCGTCCGTCCCAAGTACAGTCAAGAAGATTTTATCTCCGTTGACGCAGACGACCGCATAGGGGAAAGGTATTCTAGCTCGGGCTGGATGCACCTACATTACCATAGCTCGCAACAGTGGTCCATTGGGAATGCTAACATACAGAAAATACCCGTTCTGCGTAGACCATGGGCGCCGATGACTGTTTATTGTCAGCTAGGAATCTCAGAAAACTATGGAGGGACTCTCACTACTCAATCTGATCTTCTGGTGGCCATCGGGAGCCTTTCCAGTATCTTTAGACTCTGCCACCTTGTCATGCAACCTTTGTGTAGGTGTGCTGAGATGTACCCGAGTACCTTTTGTCTCTGGCTGCAAGGTATGCACATTAATATACTGTGCGTCCTCGTACTTGCCTTGTTGATTATATATGTATGCGAGACCGCGCATGGCTCTGATGGTAGCGGGGTCCATCGGGCCCAGGGTCTTCTGTCGCAAACTGGCTACCTCTGCGGCAAAAGGCTCCGCTTCTCTGAACTTCTTCTCTTGGCAGTAAACTTCCGCAAGGATATGCAGTGCGTGGATCATATCTTGATTTTGAGAGCCTGATGAGGCCCGTCGCAGGCCGACGAGTTCTGTGGCAACTTCCTCCGCCTCCTTGAACTTTTTCTCTTTGGCATAGATCTCAGAAAGGCTTTGCAAGGCATTCATTGTATCGGGATGCATGTCGCCAAGTGCCTCCTTTCGAGCCCTAACGAGCTCTTTGCTGGCTTGTCCTGCCTCTTCATACTTCTTTTGCTCATGGTAGGCCATCGCAAGGCTTTCCAAAGCATCAAGTGTTTCCTGGTGATTGGTGCCCAGTTTCTGTCGTCGCAACTCAAGTATCTTCGCCCATAGTTTCTCCCCCCAGTCGTACTGGCCTTGTTCGCAATGTTCCCTTGCAAGATCGATCAAAAATGATTCTTCATTGGAAGGGGCTGCCGACGTGGTATCTTCCGTGTTGTTATCGTTCCCTTGCTCGTCACCTGCTACTGCAAGGTTTGCAATCCCATCAGCCAACTGAGAACGAGACGCCTGTTGTAGAGAGGAGAGATGGGAGGGGAGCGGTAACAATGTCGGCTCTGGTTCCGTAAGAGGTGTTGCGGGAGACAGCGATCGCTCTTGCTGCATTGCGGGGCTGCTGTATGTATTAGACCAGGCGTTCAACGGCGATAGGCTGAACGTCCCTGAGCCGGTCGCTGAGCTTCCACCCAGGACAACACTCCAGAGGTTAGTACGTCGCTCTATCATCGTGGTATGTCTAGGCTCTTACCTCTCACGCCAGCCTGATTGCCCAGAAAGCCACTTGTGCGCGAGGACGCGCTCCATCGTCAGTCGTCGTTGTGGAACATCTGCCATTGTGACATGGACAAAGTTCATGCACCACGCGCTCGAGTCACACAAGGGCTCAATGGGAAACTCGACTCCATGATTTCGCGCGTAGTCTAGCAGGTGATTGACGCTGCGGAAGGGTGGGAAACATGTGCGCAGGCAGAACGCCACGGCCCCAAGTGACCACACATCGACCGCCGCCGTATATTTATCTGCCGAGTCACCGTAAAGTTCTGGTGCTATATACCCTGGCGTCCCAATGTTGTGTGTACCGAGCGCGGTGCCGTCCACCTTTTTAGCGATTCCGAAGTCAGCGACTTTGACGTGCCAGCTTGGGCCGGGGGAGGACACTAGAATATTCTTGAAGCTGGTCAGCAACGTTTTGTCAATTGAATGGTCTAAAATGTACTAGGGGTTTAATGTCACGATGAACGAAGTTGTTCCGATGCATATACTGCAGAGCTTGCGCGACTTGGGCGACAATCGATGCGGCTTCGGGTTCAGGGAATGGCGCAGTGATATATTTTTGAAGGTCGCCGTATTCGAGGAGCTCCATTGCCAGGTAGAAACAATTTGCATCGTCAAACCAGCCGAGGAATTGGACAAAGTGATCCCGGTACTGCTTGTGCTATTGCTGACAGTCAGCCGCGGCATCTTAAACCGACACGTATACGTACCTCCGCCGTCTTGGGATCGGAAAAAGTGACTAGAGCGTCGAGTTCGCGTCTCGACATCTCAGAGGATTTAGCTTGCCGCTTGTGCAGGTGCTTTACGGCGCGGACTGCGTTTTGCGAGGGCCCAGAGACGCAGAGCTCCTGCCAGACGTCGCCAAAGCTGCCATTTCCCAGCCTTTTGATCGGTCGCCAGCACTCATCGCCCGATGGCTGTTGATGACATCTCTGCCCGCTATTGTCGTAGGTTGTTTCCAACTTCCACTGTCGCAAAGGGCTGACGATGAATGGATCCATCGATCATTTGGAGATACCGTGCCGGCGGAGGGGGTGTTTTTAGTATAGTGCTAGTATAGCCCTAATATTATATTAATTATAAATGTTATTATAATATTATATTAAGATGAAATATAGTACTAATACTATATTTATATTAATATATCTTATTTTTAAATATATATATTTAGTTTTATAATATATAATATATATAACCTATATTTAAAATAATATACATTAAATTTTTAATATATATTTTTAATTAATATATATTTTTTCTAAAAAAGTATATATTTACTTAATAAAATATATATTATTTAATTTGGATATATATTATACAAGTCTGATATGTATTCGGATTTCTGATATGTATTCGGATTTCTGATATATATTCTACTTTTTAATTTAAACTAAATATTTATTAGTTAAAAAAGGTATTAAATACTATATTAATAGTATATTAAGGCTTATATATAATAAATATATATATATATATATAT